GTATCGATTGTAGATCACATCGTTATTTAAAAGAAAACTAATTATACAACAGCGAGAGAATAATTAATTCATAACAGTCATTATAAATTCGATCGATGATAACTTCTTACGACTTGCATTCACAAACTATGCGGATACTATCAAACTAAACTCGTTTGATTAACACATACTGAGACATATATACATAATTATAGTATGTATAAGCACACACCATAAATGATACATTCCCTTCACTTACCAACTTCCTTTAGCACCTTTCGTTTCACTCAGCCTGATTGTATGCAAATACTTCTATCTCGTTCTGTATCGTAAGGTTGATTAATGGAAGAGAGCGGAGCGGACACGGGAGCGGTCTTTGATTTTCGAACGAGATATAATATTTTATTTTGATATAATATTGATATAATATTTTTTCTAGTTATATTTTCTTTAGATTTAAACATCAAGCAGTTACATGCTTTAAAAATAATAAAAATTATATGAGATATAATATTACTTGATTTAGGGTTTTTTTTTCATACGTATACAATAGGGATGATGACGGGGTACAGTAAACGAAATTCTATTTAGTCCGTCAGTTAGATGATCAGAAAATAATGGACACGTATTTTTTCTTTGGGCAATCAACCAAAAAATGACAAAGTTATATCGCGTCAAAGTTTGGGACCAGGGGCTCGTGACGTCACTTTTGAGTGAATTTTCACTTATAAGTGTACTCAAACGTGACGTCATGCGACTTTTCAAATCAATATACCTATCTCTGCAATGTTTATATTATGTGAAAGAAGAAAAAATACGTGTCCAATACTTTTTGATAATCTACCTGATAAACGAAGAAAAAAAATTAGTCATCATCCCTATCCTGCTTCGACATATTATATATCATAAAAATAAATTAAATGAGAATTTTACACAGCAAACGATATAAGTTTTATACATAGATCTTAAATGTTACGATTAAAATGCACCTTTTTATATCCGTTAGAAGTGTGGCTATAAAAAATATATTGTTAAGATAAAATTTGGTTTGCTTTTTTTTCATTTAAATCTTTCAATGTGTGCTCGCTCACAATCGATTCGTCAGCGTGACAGTAAAGCTTATTACCGCTAGTCATCAAATGAGTGATCAACAATACCTATGTTTAATGCTGGCACTTCATATGACTATTCGTATTTGCTATTTGAAAACTTGACAAGTTTCTCATTTTCAATCCCTATAGATTAATTATGATAAGGACAACCTGCTGTTAAAATAGCATAAGTAATACCTTCTAGTTCCCGCTTCCGCTGTTCTTCAGCCCCAAACACAGCCTTATATCACGACAGGTGGTGTGTTGTAACGGATGTTATCATCAGAATCTAACGTGACATGCCTGTTACGGTTGCTTAGAGTTCTTAATGTTGTCGTAAATTTGCGAAATCCGCCCATAAATGTAATGTAATAAAGCCGATATTCGCTAATAGCAGGATGCACGTCAAGGTAGAGTTGACAATAAAATGCGTGTGCTAAACTTAATGATGTTTTAGTGCCAAATTTGTTTTTATGAAATCTGTTATAATTTAATTTTAAACGGACATTTTAATGTGTAATTAGATACATAAAATTAAGTAAGTCGGTCAAAGTCAATTAATTAGTTGCTCAATGCAACTTGATGGCAGAAAATAGGGATGTGAAGTGAGTGAGTTTCCAGGGCTCCACGGGGTAGAGCGATGGAATCCTCCCCTGGAGGCCAATTACCTAACAGGATTGCTATGGCTATCGCTATTGCTTACGATTTCATTTCCTAATACCTCGCGTTCATTTTATTTAATATTGTTATAACCAACGCAAACGAAAATAAAGAGAGCGAGGCATTTGAAAACCTCCAGCGGTCAGGAATAATAAAATGAAATCGTAAGCAATAGCCATTTCGCCACCGGCTACCAGGCGCGGCGAGGTCCTTCAGCCTTATGTTGCCGAAGTTCCTCCCATTCGCACGAAGCGATATGCTTCCGCTTTCATTATGCGAACGGCTAGGGATTGGAACTCCTTGTCGAGGTCTGTTTTCCCGGACCAATATAATCTGGACATCTTCAAGGCCAGAGTGAACAGGCATCTTCTAGGCAGGCGTGTACCATCCTAGGCCTCATCATCGCTTTCCATCAGGCGAGATTGTGGTCAAACGCCTTGCCTATTAAGCATAAAAAAAATGCCATAGTCATGGTTTAGCATCCTTTGTTGTGGGGGCCCTCGGCTAAAGCCCCGCGCTAATCTTAAATCCGGCCCTGATGCTAGCGATAACATCTAAACTAAAGGCTAAGCCCCCCCCCCCCCATTTTTTTCATATTTCGCACGCAGAACTTCTAGTTACAGACGTTGGCGCCCTTAAAGGGCACACCAAGGAACGGACCTCACGCCTAGCCTCTCGCAAGTCCCACGGGTGCGAAACGGAGAAGCCGTTAAGCAGTCCGCGCGGCTTACGAGCACTTACGGCATACTATCCTCTAAAAAACCCTGCGAACACACTCTACGCTGTTAAGAGTGGAACCGCGTGATCCCCGTTGAGGGATTTCACCTCGTATTACTCGTATACACCGCACCTGACAGTTTCCCGGCCTAGCATAAGCACCGCGACATGACATATCGCCTATTTATTATTATCGACCTGATTGTGATTGTCAAATTACTATGGAATTTGACGGGATATAATGTAAATTGTTATGGTGGCTACGGGTAATGGTGACCGCTTACAAACGGGCTGGAATTATTCTTGTTTGCTACCCATTTTACAATAAAAAAACTATAATGTTAATCAACAATAGCTCGAGCTGCAAAACTTATTTAAACCTCATTTAAATGGTTCCAAAAGTCAATGACTCTGATTCATAAGCATAATGAATCCCTATTGTAATTTTGATCTATAAGTTAGTATATTGCGTTACCCTGACAGGTACTCGTACTTTATGCATATTGTAGCTTGTAAGCATCTATGTAACATGAGTGCAATAAATTGAATTGAATAAGTAAAACGTCTTTGACATAAAACCATACAACATTCATAATATGTAAGTTTACCGAGAAGTATTTATTATTGATAACAAACTTATCGTACATTTTTATAGATCGAAACATAACGTCTGTTTAGTAATTCAGCACGGCTTGGTAACTTTCATTGCAGCAAATGATCAATGACATACCAGCGCAATATTAAAACAAATATTTTATGAGTATCGCAATAGGGTTTACGCAGTATCAAGTAAATACTAAGTAGTATCACGCAATCTCTTATGATCTCACACCGATATTATAATGATACGTACCTGGTTCTTATAACTGCTGTACTTAGATAATTAAGTATGATAAAAATCATAAAACGTTACTCATACTGAAAGGCAGGACCGGTAGAAGTTGTTTTTAACAAGTGGAGTTCAGCCGAAAAGTTTGCTGGTGGGGCATGACAACATGTCACCTCGACGAGTACCCCGCGTCATACCCTTCAATCATATTATATAGAATAATTAACTCTGCCATAACAACACCAAATTTGACAACAATACCACCAAGTTGATCTAGAATAGTAAATTTAATTGAATTTATGCAGACGATTCTAGAAACTGGTTTTTGGCATGAAGTCATGCCATGTAGGTACGCCAACGATATTGAGGTACGCAATCAAGGTTTACTTAAAAAAATAAAAAGCGGGAAAATTTTTAGTGATTACCTAAATTGAATTTGAAATTTGCATTTAGAAAAAAAAAATGACTATTTTTTATTAGGGTTCCGTACCTCGAAAGGAAAAAACGACACCCTTATGGGACCACTTTGTTGTCCGTCCGTCTGTCAAGATCCTTTTTCTCAGGAACACGTGGAGGTATCAAGCTGTAATTTATACCAAATACTCAGGTCTACTGTCCCTTGGAGCTGTCAAACTTCTAAACCTACGCAATCAAAAGATACAGCCGTTTATGCCGTAAATTTTCGAAACTCGCACGGGAATCAAAACCTACATGGTACTTCCCATGAAATCAGAATCTTGAAATTTGGTACGAAGCAACGTCTTATGGCACAGATAAAGGAAAAATTGCGAAAATGCGAAATTATTGTGTATTGACATCGTAACAATATATTACATAAATATTTAACGCTGTGAAGTTTTTTTTGCCAGGTTTTCTCCACAGCTAAAAAAATGTCCTTAACTAGTGGTAGGGAAAACAATATGGACGATTCAAAAGAGTTGTATTTTGCATCCAATTTGAATAAAGATATTTTGACTTTGACTTTAGTAGTTTCTGAGATAAGTGCATTCAACCAAACAAACCAACTTTTTAACGTTAAAATATTATTGTAGATTACTAGCATACAGACTAGATTACAGCGAACTTCGTACCGCCATAAAAAAATAGGGGTTGGTGGTAGAAGGGTGAAAATTTAGCGTTGTATATATTTTTGTATGATGTATAATAAAAAATAAAAACAAAAATATTTGTCAAAAAAAAATAAAGGTGGACCACACTAAAAATTTCGGGGGATTTAAAATAGATGGTGTCCGATTCTCAGACCTACTGAATATGCAATATAAAATTTCACGAAAATCAGTCGAACCATTTCGGAGTAGTTCAATTACGCACACCATGACACGAGAATTTTATATGTACGAGTACTATATTAGATTTTCACTTCCCACCTCTGTTCAAATGAGCGTCTACGCATATAAGTAAAAACAATAACGTCTATAGATAGATATATGATCTCATACAGACAGATTCTAATAGAAGGAAAACAATCACGAAATAATATTTCAACTAAGACTTTTGTTTAATTTAGTCAATCTTGCCTGCTTATGTAAAGCTAAATTATTATTATAATGTGGGTTGAGATTAAACGCAAAAACTAAGAATCAATATATATAGACTTAATGAATGGTCCATAAGTATTTTATTTTAGTTTAATTAGTAATAAAAAACTGGCGTGCGTTGTGTGTTTGTTTGTGTACTAATTTGTTTTTCTCTTTTGTTATTAGATACTCCATCATGTTGCTGAGAAAAAGAGGAGTGCTATTCCTTACCATACTCGTCATAATCAAATCTTCCGAGCAACATGGTTCCGGAGCACCTTCCGGGGTAAGGATACATTAATGAATAAAGCACAGTACGGAATGTGACAGACAGACAGACAGAAAACCGAGTGGTCCTATAATGGTTCCGTTTTTGCCAATTGAGGTACGGAACACTTAAAAAGCAATTACTACAATGCACACCAAAAAAGAGATAAAACTGCTTATTCCTTCAGTCTCTGAGTGACTATTAGACCATCGGTACTCTTGCAAACTGCTGAAGAAATTACCTACGGTGCATATCATAGGTTCTTCACGCTGCAATAAATGTTCCACATCAAAATGCTCGGAGGAGATCGATGGCCCAAGTGGTTAGCGCGTTCGGCTGCGATCATTGGATGGGGGACCAAAATTTACTATCTCGAGCTCCTCCGTGCTTCGGAAGGCACGTTAAGCCGTTGGTCCCGGCTGCATCTGCAGTGGTTAGCACCCACCAATCCGCACTGGCCCGCGTGGTGGGTCATAGCCCAATCTCCCTATTCCATCCATAGGGAAGGCCTGTACCCCAGCAGTGGGGACATTATACTTTGTCTTGCTGTTCGCAAGTGGAATTCTTTGCCCGTGCACGTATTCCCTCCTGTCTATAGTCTGTGGCTCCTTAAAAGAGGCTTGAAAAGGCACAAAAAGCAGGCCGTGAAAGTGAGGTTGGTTGGTTTTAATTGATAACTGCTGCACCAGATGTCCTCGCGTCTGGACTTTACCATCACTTAAAATCAGAAGGAGCAGAGTCGTTTGCCTACCTAGCTATAAAAAAAAGGTCGAAGGAACCCCTCGACCTCACCTCACACACGCTGCGAAACGTTAAACTAATTAGTGACACTAATTGTGACATAACGTCACATTTTTTAGTGCGTGCAGCCGGTGTTCATCGATTTATAAGACATTATCACGTCAAAAAAAATACTCCTGAATTTGTGATTTTATAATGAACCTCCTGTTTCCAGGCTTGCCAGGACCAGATGCCCAGGCACTCCACCGTCTTGCCACAGAGCTCGGTGCCTCCGTACATCATCGTGCCATCATCAGCTCAAGTGAGGCAGGGAGACGCTGTCAATGTGACCATTGGCAGTCCAGCTGGGGCGCCGCTACCCATCGGAGGGTTTATATTGCAAGCAAGGTCGATACAGGTATGTTAACTAACTATTCTCTAACATGAGTGAAACTTCTTTACGCACGCTTAACTTGGGAGGTAAGCTGGCGAATGCGTTACGCGTTACGAAAAGTGTGTTCGGGCGAGGCGAATGGGAGTTGAGTGGGGGATATAAGCAAGAGAAAGCAGTGAGCGCTCACATTTTCCTTCTCACTTTCTCTTATAGCTAGTAAATGAAATATGTATACGTACGTCCATACATGTATAAATTGTACATACATGTACATATATATATATATATATATATATATATGATTTTTTTTTACTTTTTAGTGTTTAGTTTAATTATGTTTTTTACCCTTGGGGTACAACGGAACCCTAACAATATGGGCTTGACGTCTTACTTACTTTTCCGCTGCACAATTACCTACGAATATCGCTCATTAAAATAAACAATGTAGACGGTGGACTTGACGGTGTTTCAGGTTTTCCTCCTTTCATTTTATGAAGATCTTTGCGGTCGAGCGGCTTGCATGCCAGTATCTGTCTCTGTTTAATTTTATTTCCTTAATTGAATTTCTAAAACTACGTCGTTTCAAATTTTTACAGCACAAAAAGTGCTTCAGCTACTTGCTTTGAAATACAAATTCGAACAATATGAATTTGTTTCTTGTATTTAATCTCATATTTATTTATAAACCATGATCGCTAAGACTTCATTCTTCTTCTACAAGGTGGCTTTTGTCGCTTTCAATCTAATAGGATACGTTATAAATTCATATACTTACTCATAAATTGGTCCACGTTTGCTCATACAAATTTATCGTTGGCAATTGAAATTCTACTTTAGATGGTAATAAAACTAATAAATCTCTATGTGGACGAAATCAGACTGACCCCATTATCGCCCATAATCGTCCCAGATAGCTGAAATACAAAATCATTCGCAGTTGAAGTTTTACCTTCATCATCATCATCATCAACAGCCTATCCTAGTCCACTGCTGGACATAGGCCTCTCCAAAATAAGCATCTAGGCAAACGTAGTGTAGGACGTCCTCAGGCACGATGGAGTGACGATTAGCGCAAGGTGGCTGGCAGGAGCTGGATGCGAGTAACCCAAGATCTGAGTGGCGTGCAATTGGAGAGGCCTATGTCCAGTTTTACCTTAGATGGTAAATAAATCTGCATGAAACCGGAAACCCATTATCGCTCACCCAAAAGTTGCAAACTTTTTTTATGTTTAAAGATGTAGAAAATACTGATGGTGAGCGGATACCATAGCGTCTATACGCTTGCGATACAAAAAATATCACTCGTGCCGTTGCCTACCCTGACTTAGGCCAGTATTACAGAATGACAACTAAGTCTAAGGCCCGTATTACAGAATGACAACTAAGTGTTGATCTTTACTTGAGTACAGTTAGAAAGGGATGTCGCTATGTGCTATATATAGCAACATCCCCCAACTATGCTCCAGACTGGATTAATTACAGAGAATATACCCTCGCAGGCCCTACCGCGGCCCTCTCATGTAGGACAGAACTCAAGGGATTCCCTCAGGTAGGGGGGATCACTGGGCAGGCGCGGCCAGACCTGTTCTTCTGCGGCTGGAGGGAGCGGCCAGAGGATTATTCTCCCGTTCCCTCTCGGCCGCCTCCTTCTGCGAGATGACGTCCTCGCAGAATCTATAATACGGGCCTAAGTGTAGATCTTTACTTGAGTACAGTTAGAAAGAAATAGCGGTATATATAGCACATAGCGACATCCCTTTCTAATTGTACTCAAGTGAAGATCAACACTTAGTTGTAATTCTGTAATACGAGCCTTAATCGCCTACCCCGTGGAGCCCCGGAAGGAACCTTACTCACCACGTGACCACCAAATTCTTTCATTGTAGTCTATACCTGGTACCTGAACAAAAAAAAAAACACGTGTATTTAAGGATAACTCATTACATTTCACTTCTACTCCGCAAGGTTATGTCAATATTCGACTTAGGTATATTATTTAACTGATAAATGGATTGGTGTAATAAAAGGTTAGTTTGAGCTGTAAGTAGTAGTTAGGTGTAATTTTAGCTATCTTAAAATACATTCCATGAAATAGTCAATTGACATTCGTGTAGTGTGACGAGAAACAAACACGATTAGGTATGCTTCTTGTGGTGTGTGAATAGGGTTGCCAACCCTACTATATAATATAGTATCCTACTATAAAAGGGGATACTACTATATTTTGCTTATTAAACAGATTTTTGTTAGTAAAAGCTTTCTTAGAAATAATATATGTATATATATTAATTTTAATATATTCAAATTATTTTATTATTATTTATTAATTAATTAAGATAATTAAGATTAAAAATGTAATGTATAAATATTGCTCTATTGACCTTTGCTGGAAGAATGGAATGGTTGAATTGGCAGTTTGTTCAATTTAATGTTTACAGTAGTCTTATAAATATTAAGGCATGGAAAAGCAAAGATATATATATTCATTTAAAAAATAAAGTAGATGTATTAACCACATACTATATTTTTTCATCTTTTTGCCATCTACCATATTTTGAGAGGTAACAGCTTCGAAAATACTATATTTGATAGAAAAAAAATTAGTAACCCTATGTGTGAACGAAGTAGTTAATATTAAAGTAACCAACCTTTTAGTTTTACAGCGGAATACCAAAAAATCTCCTTGAACTTTTATTGTTATTGGAAATTGTGTTTTATTGACGTGTAGGTATGCCGAATTTGTTTAGTTGTCTCAGCACATATACCTCATTCTCACCAAAATATTATATGGACGAACTTCGTGTAGAGTGGTATTTACATCGGTTTTCAAGGTGTCAAACCCGGGCACATTGGTGTAGAAGACAGGAGTGCTGTCGATGCACCAAGCGGCTGTCAATTAAATTATGAAAGGCTAGGCGGTGTAAAGGTCTTCAATTTGAATCTGGATAGGCATTCTTAATTCAGATTATATGGACTATGCATTCCTAATGGAACTGTGGTCACTACGACCTAAAAGAATCATTGTGAGTATTGTGACTCGCAACCAAGTTAAAGTCACCTTTTCTTCAGAGGAGCACGCGCGCTGGCCTACGTTGCCACCGAATTACTGTGGCCACTATTCCTACACGAACAAAGAAATTTGGTGACTCATTTCTTTGTCGTACTATTAGTAAGTGGAATTCTTTACACGCGCAAGTGTTCCCTCCTTCCTTTAATCTGGGGTTCTTTAAGAGAGGCATGAAGAAGCATTTTTGCAGGCCGGCAAGGTGAGGATGAATGGTGTAGCAGTTTATAACCGTTGTACCAGGTATCTTTGCGTTTGGACTTTATTACTACTTAACATCAGGTGGGGTAGAGTCATTTGCCTACCTCTATATATAAAAAAAAGTATCTCTTATAGCCATTGGCGGCGCTAGGCGTCGGCGAAGTCGGCCACCGCCGACGGCCTCGCGCCTGAGGGGGCCTCGCAAAAAATTTTTACAAGTTACCTATTTATTTTCGTTTCTCCTGGCCTTCGGCAATTCGGGGAAAAAGCCCGAGGAAAAAGCGAAGCAGATGATAATGACTTTTATTATTTTCGAACACGTGCGTGATGGAAGCGAGTAGTACTTTACGGGTATTCAGAATCGTCTGTGTGGCAACACTATTTTTGTAATTAAATTTCTATTTCTTAATTTTTTTTGTCATCATTTGATTATCAACAATAAAACTCGTTTACTCATACGTTATTTTATAATTAGGCTCACTTAATTCAACGGTTTTTTATTGCGAAGTAAAATAGGCCTCGCGAACTTGATGTCGCCGACGTCCACATGTGGTCTGTCGCCGCCACTGCTTATAGCCCGATAGCTTCCAAGAAACTCAGAATGTTTTTAGCTTTTACAGATTTGATTTAGTCTGGACATATTATATGTTGTCCTAGATGAATATGCGAATGTGGGTCTCTTATCCACAAACATAGTTGACGTTTGTGGAGAACGTCTCATTCACGTTAACATACCGTTTTGATGTTTCACGCTCATGATTGCAGTATCTGCAAACACCATTGTCACGAAATTGGTGTCTGTTAAGATATGTAGGATAAGGATTAGAGTTGTCCGTAACAAATTACTGATGATGACCGGTCATTAGATGGGTGACTAAAATGTTACTATCTCCAGTTCCTTTGTGCACGGAAGGCACGATAATCGGTGGTCTTTAACGAAGTCTTGGTTGAATCTGGAATCATTAGCTATTTAGTTTAGTAACATCAAGGGCGGATCCAGGGGGGGGGGGTCATGGGGGTCATGACCCCCCTGGGCTGGGTACAGATGGACCAAACACAGGGGGATTTTATTTAAGTACTTACAATATTTAATATACCACGACTATATGACCCCCCCCCCCCTGGCGCCAAAGCTGACTATATGACCCCCCCCTGGCGCCAAATCTGGATCCGCCCTTGAGTAACATCTACCAAACATCATTGCGCAAGCGTGCTGTATCATGGCCCATTCCATCAACGTGGAAGACCTGTCTACTAGTAGTAACAATCTCAATGGGTTGATGATTAGCTTGCTTGATGCTAAGTGATTATTAACAATTAAACCATATATCTGAAGAGTGTGTTCAGTTTCTTTCTTCTTCTCATAATCTTCCGCTTCGTTCATCTGACAATCTCCTGATTTTCACACCTCTTAACTTTTCCAAGGCGTACAGCCACTACTTTACCATACGTGCCATCCAACTATGGAATTCTTTGCCGGAAAAGATTAGGCGTACCCAAACTCTAGCCTGTTTCAAATCCCTAATTAAGGAGCATTTCTTGTCAGATGAGCATAATTTTCATTAATAATATTGCTACGGTAGTAATACCGGCTGTTGCGTTATATTGTGAAATGTGTGAATGTTTGTTTTAATTTATTTTCAATTGACTACTTACAAAACTTTTGCCTTGTATTCCGCACAACCTCCCTCATTATTATTATCGTGCTTTCTATTTTTTTTCCAGCTCATTGGGTTGTCTGGATGAAATCGCTGATTAGCGATAAGACCGCCCTTTGTGTTACTGTTGTGCAATAAAGTGTTATTATCTTATCTTATATCTTAACACTTACCTTCCAGAATCCGGACACCATAGTAGGTCGTTTCGTCTCCGTCCCTGACCCTGCCATCACCCACCTGGTGACCTGCAGCAGCGCCAATGACACCGCCACACACTCCAACCCACAAGAGAAACCAGCTCTCACCTTCCAGTGGAGAGCGCCCAATGACTTCTTAGGAGGAGTGGAGTTCAGGTAACTGGTCAATTTGAGCCATCATTGATCTTTTACTTTGTCGCATGCCATCCCACTATTTTACAGTTCACTCGGAGGAGCTCGATGGCGCAAGTGGCTAGCGCGTTTGGCTGCGATCGGTGAAATTAAGAAACTTTCGCAGTGGTCCGTCATACGATGGGTGACCAAAAAAAATGTACTATCTCGAGCTCTTCCGTGCTTCAGAAGGCACGTTAAGCCGTTGGTCCCGCGTGCTTCGCAGTCATTAGCACCCACCATTCTACACTGGACCCGTGTGGTGGGTCATGGCCCAATCTCCCTATTCCATCCATTGGGAAGGCCTGTGCCCCAGCAGTGAGGACATTAATAGGCTGATGATGATGATGATGATGACAGTTCACTTCGATAGATTATAATCTGTCTGAAAATAAATTGTAAGCGATATATAACAGTTCACTCTCTTTCGATAGTTTACACCAGCTATACTCTAAGTGTGTTCCGCGGAACCCTAGGGTTCCGTGATACCTCTGTCGGGGTTCCGCAAGAATTTAGAAATAAAAAAATCAAAACACCTCTCTCTGGTCGCTCCGCGGCTGTGCGGACTCCGCGGCCGCGCGGAGACAAAACGCTATGAATGTTATTTATTTATTTATTTGTATTTGTATAAGCTTGTGTTACATTAGCTGGTACAATATCTCATAAGTTTGGTCTCAACAATTTTATACTTGTACAACGCGTTCGCTCTAAGTTTGCCGGTCTGTGGAATGCGCGTACCCTCCCCCACGTGACAACAAAACTTATAATGTGTCATAGTTTTACCCAAATATCTAACGTACACAATTTTTATTGTTACAATTAAATAAAAAATTTCGAACGTCATACACTCATACCTATCGCCAGCGGCAAACTTAAAACGAGCGGGTAGTATACTTGTAAGCGCTCAGTCTCTTTGATAAAAGCCGCCTCTGAATTAGACGCTATAGTTGTCAACTAGCGACTTTCGTCTCTAACTTCAAAGGATAAAGTCGATATTGTTTACAACGCTATTTTTAAATTTCTGTTTTTATTTTTGCTTTTTGTTTATCAAAGGTGCCGACTCGAGTATTTTCGAGAATATTTGAGATCGAGTCTAGGACTAAGTATAAAAGCGGCGATCGCGCGTTGGCGTCGTCAGTTGATGATTAGCGTTCGGAGCGATAAGTTACTACCTACTTACAAGCTCGCTAGCGAGAAACTGGTGTTCATTGTTTTACTGCCTGCTGTATTCTGTTGTCTCAGTTTTATACATTTCTTCCCTGTAGGTTCTAAATTTAGTCTCTTATACGCAGTAACGATTGTGCATTATTTAAACCCCACTATCCTGACTTGTAACATTATAAATAAAGAAGAATGGAACGTTGGCTTAAAGGTGTTAAACGTGTTCCAACAACATCTTCTAATGACGCTGAATGTTCAAAAGCAATGCGCGCGGAGAATTTAGCAATCACCGATCCAGAAGATGATGCCACGAGTGCCACGACGTCAAGCTCGACGGTTTCAAAGACGAAAAAAAGGAAGTATGATGAATCTTATATCAGTTTCGGATTTGTTGATTCCAACGGCTCACCTCTCTGCATGCTCTGTAGTAAACTGCTTCCTAATAGTTCCATGGCACCTGCCAAATTGCGTCGACATTTAGAAACCGTACACCCCGAGACTAAAGACAAGAATAAAGAATTTTTTGTTCGCAAAAAAGATCAGTTATTAGAAAGTCAAAAAAATATGATGCATGTAACACAAACTACCAACGAAAAGGCCACGGAGGCATCATACTTAGTTAGCTATCGCATTGCACAAGCAGGTGAAGCGCACACTATCGCTGAGAAATTAATAAAACCATGTGTATTAGACATAACAAAATGTATGCTTGATGAAAAATCTGCAAAGCATCTTTCTACTGTTCCGCTATCAAACGATACTGTTTCACGACGAATCCATGATCTGGCAAGCTACGTCAAACAAGAACTAGTTACACGTCTACAAAATACACGATTCGCTTTGCAAATGGACGAGTCGACTGATGTCGCTGGTTTGGCTATCCTGCTGGTTATTGTGAGATATCCATATAAAAGTTCTTTTGAAGAAGACATGCTTATGTGTTCATCGCTGCTTACAAACACTACCGGGGAAGAAATTTTTAATAAAATAAATATATTTTTTGAAGAACATAATCTCAGTTGGAACAATTGCATTGACATTTGTACAGATGGGGCCAAGGCGATGACAGGTAAAACAGCAGGAGCAGTGTCACGAATGAAAAATAAAGCGCCTAATTGTAGTTCCAGTCATTGTATTCTGCATAGACAAGCACTTGCGATGAAGCAAATGCCGTCTAATCTAAAATTAGTTATGGATGAAGCGGTAAAAATAATTAATTTTATCAAATCACGACCACTACAATCCCGATTGTTCTCATTATTGTGTGAAGATTATGGCAGCAAACATAAAACACTGCTGCTCCATACAGAAGTGCGATGGCTGTCTCGGGGAAAAACTTTAACAAGGCTATTTGAACTTAGAGCCGAGTTACAAATGTTTCTTTCAGCAGATACTTCTTTTAATTTGAAGGACCGTTTGTATGATAAAACTTGGTTGTTCCGATTGTCTTTTATGGCGGATATCTTTCAAAAACTTAACGAATTAAATTTATCATTGCAAGGTAAACAGACAACAGTGTTTCAGGCCTATAATAAAATAACTACTTTTAAAAGAAAATTAGATTTTTGGATCATTTGCATTGGTAAGAAAGAAATAGAAAGTTTTACGTTACTCACTGAGTTTGTTAGCGAAAACGACTCAGAAATGTTTGAAGATAATGTGTTTGAAGAATTGGTCCAATATCTCAGTTCGATGCGCGCATCTTTTGAAAAGTATTTTCCCGAAGAACACAATACAAAAATTAAAGTGAACTCCTGGATTCATAATCCTTTTTTACCCAACTTGGAAAAGCCTGAAAACATGTCAAATGAGATATATGAATCTCTTTTAGAAATGTCATCAGACACAAGTATGGAGTCATTGTTCAAAACGACGCCTCTTAATGATTTTTGGTGCAGAATCCAAGATGAATATGCAATGCTTGGCCAAATGGCTCTGGATATTCTTCTCCCGTTCCCAACTACATATTTGTGCGAAACAGGATTCTCTACCTACGCAGCCACGAAAACAAAATATCGCAATAGACTGGACGCCGAAGCTGATATGAGACTCCAACTTTCTTCCATCAAACCTGATATCAAGCAATTGATGAAAAATAAAAAACAGTTTCATACCTCCCACTAGTTAGATTTTTTCTTTTTTAATGTTTTCTATTATTGTCCTTACCAAGTGGTGAAGTAAATAATAATTAGTAACGGATACATTGTACTTTTATTATGCTGATTAATATAGAATACACTTATAAAAATAATTGTTTTATTGTAGGGTTCCATCAAGTATTTTGCTTCCCAAAAGGGTTCCGTCATTTAAAAAGTTTGAGAACCACTGGTTTACACTATCGCGATATAGATTAAAGATCTTACGGTATTTACAATTTTACAGTGACGTATACTATACTGTGGTCACTATTCCCACGCGAACAAAGAAATTTGGTTACTTATTTCTTTGTCGCACTATCCTTCGCCAACTCACTTGTTCACCTCCTTTAAACCCGGGATCTTTTAAAAGAGGTGTGAAGAAGCAATATGTAGGCTGGCAAGGTGAGGATGATTGGTGTGGCAGATAATGTATGAGTAGTAGTTTATACGTATTAATTAGTGTAAGTTGATTTTATCCGTTCTAATTATTGTAATAATAAATAAATAACTGTTGTCTGGCTGGTCCTGCTGATTTACTAGTCTTGATTATCTATAGTATATACTAGCGGTCCGCCCTCGCTTCGCTTCGGTGTAGAGCTGAAGTATAGACTACAGTTTTTGTTGTCAGGCTTGTATTATACACAATGACATTCATCCATGATTCTTCTAATACCTGCATGCAAAGTCTCAGCCCGATCGGTTTAAAATTGACAAAGTTTCATACAAACTTTCATTCCCTATTTTATCCCCTTGGGGGTAGAATTGATCAAAATCCTTTCTTAGCGGATGCCTACGTCATAACATCTACCTGCATGCCAAATTTCAGCCCGATCCGTCCAGTAGTTTGGGCTGTGTGTTGATAAATCACTATGTCAGTCAGTCACCTTTGACTTTTATATACATATATAGATAATAACGGTCATTTTTATTACCTGTATTTATAACTAAACTAAAATTCTCATATTTCCGTTTTCCAGTACTCATTTTCTACACGTTTTACATGATTTATTTGCTAATTTTGTTTACAAATGTTTGGTTTTTATTCTAAGATAAGCACGGTTTCTCAATATCAATTATTGTCTGTCAATAAGGTCGAACGCTCTGAACGCATCAACAGCCAAATATTGAATGAAGCTCGCTTTCTTTTTTTTTTGTTTCCTCCCAGGCGGGGGAGCGGGTGTGAAATCCTCATGGATACCCTACAGCCGGCTGTAGAGTTATGTCAGACTCTTACTGTCTAAAACACACCCGTGGGGGGTGCCTATGGCCTTACAGGCTTCATCTGATGCGATCAACCCCTGAGAAGGGGATGATGCAGCGCTGCCTTAGTAAATACTACTGCATAGTGCGCTTAGAGGACGGATGCACCCTGATGTGCATCCGTATCGGTTTGGGACTGAGCGACTGAAGGTCTCTCAGGATCGGGGGGGCGGGGAAGCTCGCTTTCGGACCTCCCGCCTTTTTATACCCTACCGCGCCGCCACGACCCGTGTCGAGCGCGGCAGCCGTTACACAAAAATAATCCTTAAAGCATGATTCAGTATTCACGTGCGACGGCGCGATGGCTTATTTCATGTATAAGTTTGGTGTTTCTATACCGATTTCTATGATTCTTTTTTTATTGAATAGGTAATAATGTTAACTTTTTTAAATTAGGGATGAGTGAGAGTATTATAAACGTAAGAGTAAACAAATATAATCAGAATGCTCCGAACTGCTAAGCTATCAGGAGTTACACGTGTTATTGTGAGTCAACCATAAAAGATAGACATATGCTGTTGCGGGATATTTTTTAGACAATTTTATGTAGAATATTTCCGTCATACATGATTTCTATGTAACTTTAACCATTAAGGCTCCACACGCGACGGAAGCTTAAAAAATGGAGTAACTTCTCCCGTTTTCCCAACATTTCCCTTCACTACTCTGCTCCTATTGATTGTAGCGTGATGAAAAGTATACTATAACCTGCCCAGGAGTATGAAGAATAATTGTACCAAGTTTCGTTAAAATCCGTCGAGTAGTTTTTGTTTCTATAAGGAACATACACACAGACAGACAGACAAAAATTTTACTGATTGCATTTTTGGCATCAGTATCGATCACTTATCACCCCCTGATAGTTATTTTGAAAATATATTTCATGTACAGAATTGACCTCTCTACAGATTTATTATAAGTATAGATATTAGGCAATAGCGGCCGCTTACCATTAAGCGGACCATATCCCACCCTTGTAACCAAGAAATTGTTAATAGAATAGAATGACCTCTCAGTACAATTCACTGTCAAAGTCGTCGTACATGGACATCTTCGCGGATACATCGAAGAGAATAAAATCTTTATGTTTGGTTGTACCCACATAGCTTTTCATTAATTTATTTTACATTATTTTATTGTTCAATTATTGACAGTTTAAAATTTTATTATTTTTGAAAATTGCTTTGTATTGAAATTAATATTACCTACATATTATCAAAATTTCATAAGATTTAACTGCTAGTTAAGTGTATATAGCATGTCATAATCGCCTATAATTAAAGTTCAACTAATAAAGTGTCTTACTATAAATGTGTAAATAAGAAATGTCAAAGTTAAACTTTGTTGTCGATCAAATAAATAAATAAATATTTACCGTGAAGATGTGTCTATTGTCATGGTCTCAAATTTAGGAGAAACGGGCATAAAATCCTTAACACCTTATCTCCATTCTTCCAGAGCAACTGTAGCCCAAAGCTACGCGACGTTCTGGCGTAACGTGGAGTCCCCGCTAGTGGAGGTCGTGAGACCTGACACTGTTATCACAACCACTGCAACACAACCGATAGCACCTACCACTACACAGGCACCGCCAGTTATCTTGGAAAATAAGGTGAGTAAACATAAACACACAACTTAAATTGTGTGTACGGGCCTGCTCTTCTTTAAAGCCTCGATGATACATGGCGCATTTACAAGCCTCGCCCCGTATCATCGAGGCTTAACAAACTCACCTTTACCTCTGGATCCGCGGTGTGATTCAATAATAAATTATAAATATATAATAAATGTTATTTCCAATGAGATGTGATTTACAATTTAACTTATAAGGCTAGAACAGTACTAATATCTTTAAATTATCCAAATTTATCTGCTGCCGAGCTAGGCAATATATGCTTGTATTTGAAAATTAGCCAATTTGAAGTAAAATTCGAATCACACTGGCGAATTTCTAGGTAAAAAGTTAGTTTGGCCTTACAGAATAGCACTCGTGATGAATTTGTTGATTATTTTTCATGATTAAACTTGGCAGACTGAAAGATTTTCTTGCAAAATCTATATATATTAATATATAAAACTCAAAGGTGACTGACTGACATAGTGATCTATCAACGCACAACCCAAATCACTGGACGGATCGGGCTGAAATTTGGCATGCAGGTAGATGTTATGACGTCATCCGCATCCGCTAAGAAAGGATTTTGATCAATTCTACCCCCAGGGGGATAAAATAGGGAATGAAAGTTTGTATGAAACTTTGTCAATTTTAAACCGATCGGGCTGAGACTTTGCATGCAGGTATAAGAAGAATCATAGATGAATGTCATTGTGTATAATACAAGCCTGAGAACAAAAACTGTAGTCTACACTTCAGCTCTACACCGAAGCGAAGCGAGGGCGGACCGCTAGTTTTCTAATAAATTAGTAGTTTAATGCATAAATAGAAACATTATTCTATAGGTATATAAGTAACTATATTTTTCCTTAATGCTTATTCTTGGCTTTACTCGATTCTGGTAGTTATAAGTATGCCTTATGTGATGTTAAATGTAGGTGGAGTTAAATTACAAAGATAGCTGATGATGATTTGAAGAATTAATTCACCAAATGTTGCCTGCAGCTTTGTGTGTTCCATAATTTCAGTTCGAAAATTTATGTGCAATCAACAATTAAACGATTCTGGATCGTAAATCGATGGAAATAATGCTTAAAGTCAATAAGATAAATTTGAATTACAAGATTTGTTTAGAAACTGTATAACTAAGCCTATATCTGAGACTTTAGCAGTGTAGCTAACTAACAACAAATGTAGCAACAAAGATTCTTAATTGTCATTAAACTTAACAATTGATTCAGTTAAGAAACACTTGTGTCTTTTAGAAGCCACCAAGTTTTCTAGTCAATAAGTGATAGGGTATTTATTTTTCATTCGCCTTTAATTACCAACTTAACATTTTACTTTGCTCCATAGCCCAATACTGCAACCGAAACCCGAGACATCATCTACCAAGGTTGCGACGACACCAAACTCTGTTTCGGTGTGCCACAAAACTGCGTCCAACAAGGCAACTGCAAAGCTATAGTCGCTGTCTTAGTAATCGGCGACATTTACACGTTCGAAATACAAGGAACAGATAACCCAAAATACGTGGCCGCAGCTTTAAGTAACGATAATAAAATGGGAGATGACAGTGCTATGGAATGCGTCAGAAATGACAACGGAAGAGTCAGCCTTTTCACCTCCTGGACTTACCCGAAATCAGAACCTTACGTCAGAAGGTCAGATTCCCCTCAAGATATAGTGCAATTGAAAGATTTCACCCTAATAAATGGCAAGCTTTATTGCAAATTCACGAGAGACACGGTCTCTGTCGTCAGAGGACAGACGTTCGATTTGGCTAACAACAAATACAATTTGATGGTGGTCTCTGGAGACAGCATGAAAGGTGAGAAATACAATATAATTTCTATTTCATCTATTAACAGTTAAATGGATCTCGGTCCCCTTATCATGAGCCTGCCATAACAATCTAGATAGAGCATTTATTGATAACTTTAACAGAGGAAGGGAGAATGGTAAAGGCTCGCCACGTAAACCTAGTGTGGATTGGTGGGTGCTAAGGACTGCTGCACGGAGGAGCTTGATCATATAATACGCAACTATATTACATACCTTAGATACAACAACCAACGATATTGAATACCCTAGATACACCAACACGAACAAAATCATGCCCGGAACCTGTTCTAAAGGTACATTGGACGATCCACGGAGCTCCGTAGGATGATCACATAGTCTAAACAATATCAGGTATTATTTGAACATCGAAAATCACCTTTAAAGTACACTGTACAAGGTCTTAATTAAACCGCATGCGTCGAAGAGTTATGACAGTCCGAGATATAAGCTCGTAAAATTTCACGACTTATTGCTATATGCGGAAGAATATAGACCTTATAACTTTGACTCTATGCGCAATTCTGAATGCGCTGTTAGCAATATAGCAGGTACGGACCGCGAGGAAAAGAGACGGCTATATTACCGACAATGAATTTGTGTGTACACAAATATTTTCTATTAAATCAGTTTATAGTAAGTATTAGAACATAATTTGCTTCAAATGCGTTAAATTAACAAACATTGATTAGATACCTGTCGAAAAAACGTTATTTTACATACTATAATTATTCATTTCGCATTTTTTCACGGACCTCAGCGGCATGTTGACTACTCAGCGATCTGCGCGTGACTGTGAACCAAAAAGTGCTTGAGTCGTGTTCAAGCACTTCTTGATAGGGACACATTTTGAGCGCTCGTGGTGTATCTAGGGTATTTTAATATCGTTGACAACAACACGAACAAAATCGTGGCCGAAACCTGTCCAAAAGGTACATTGAGCGATCCACGGAGCTCCGAAAGATATCCGCGTTGTCAAAAACCAATATAAGGCATTATTTAAACATTGAAAGTCACCTTTAATGCATACTGTATAGGGTCTGATTTGAAAAGCATGCGTCAAAGAGTGATGACAGTTAGAAATGCAAGCTCTTAAAATTTTAAAACTTATTGCTATAGTACGCGGAAGAATATAGACCTTATTTCTTTGACTCTACGTGCAATTCTGAATGCGCTGTTAGCAGTATAGCTACAGAACGCGTGGAAAAGAGACGGCTATATAACCTGTATAAGACTATGCATTTGAAAATAAATACTTTTTATTAAAGCAGGTTATAGTGAGTATTAGAGCAACACTTTCTTCAAATGCGTTACATTAACAAACATTGATTATGTACAGTAGTAGTGTTGTATGTAGTACCTGGTGAAAAACGACACTACGTACTAAAAAAATTTTTTTCACATTTTTACATGGAGCTCTGCGGCATCTTGACTTTTTAACGGTCCAAAGTGAACCAAGAAGCGCTAGAGTCGAGTTCAAGCACTTATTGATTGGGACACATTTTGAGCGCAAGTGTTGTATCTAGGGTAAAAACTTATTAACAACGATATTAAGTTGTTAATAAGTTTTTGCCCCACATCCATTGACCGTTTATTACGGATGCTAAACTTCTTTCAGGTCGAGCTCCTGGTGTATATGTGTTGTATAAATGTTAAAACCCATATTAAGTTCATAAAAAATCATTACGTCCTTTTTGTATAGTAAGAACTCCATAGTCGAACGAATCCCATACATATAATATAATCTCACATAGTCCGACAGGCCCAATTCGTGAGCAATAGCAACTTGCGACCGAGTTTCTGGATTTTATTTTTTTTTAATAAAACCGCTATCTAAACATTATTTATCGTGGTTCAGAAAAGTAAAAATATTGTTTGCGGCATTTTGAGTGTCCATTTTCATTACAATATTCTGTAGCCTGTGCAGCAATCGGTCATAAATCAGTTGAAAGTTATAGGAATTTTACTACATTCACGCTTTTATCTGACTGTTTCTCAGATGCCGAACGAGTCGGATTCCATAGTCTAGCGTACGAATCAACGGGCCAGCCTCTAGCGCTCGCTTCTGTAGGACCAACTACTGGAGCCTCCAAACTACTGCTCAAACTGCACGGCAGCTTCATGATAGCCGCTTGGATTGGATCGGCTTCCATCGGCATATTACTTGCGAGGTCAGTTCCTATTTATATTAGGCCATCAGGTGAATATCTGCTAGCTTGCCCCCTATAATATAAAAAAGGTGAAAGGGTGGCAAAACAAAAATAAGACAAACATGAGGGTAGTTTTCAACATTGATTATTTTGATGTATTGTTATAATTTGGCAGATTACTTGCGTGGTCAGTTCCTATTTATATTAGGCCATCAGGTGAATATCTGCTAGCTTGCCCCCTATAATATAAAAAAGGCGAAAGGGTGGCAAAACAATAATAAGACAAACATGAGGGTAGTTTTCAACATTGCTTATTTTAATGTATTGTTATAATTTGGCAGATTACTTGCGTGGTCAGTTCCTATTTAGATTAGGCCATCAGGTGAATATCTGCTAGCTTGCCCCCTATAATATGAATAAGGCGAAAGTGTGGCAAAAATAAGATAAACATGTGGATAGTTTTCAACATTGCTTATTTTGACGTATTGTTATAATTTGGCATATTACTGGCAAGGTCAGTTCATCTTTTCATTGGGCAAAAACCACTGTCATGGTGGTAATTTCCAATATAACGTTATGTTACATACTATAGTAATCAAGTTGTAGATACATACAATCATGTTTTATATACGTGCAGACCAATAAAAATAAGTTGCTGATGTTTTTCGAACAGGTACTTCAGACAAGTTTGGGTCGGTAGACAACTTGGCGGCAAGGATATTTGGTTTGCAGTAAGTACCAAACTTTCTTAGTTCTATTTACTGGTGCGCATAATTAAAGTTCTCTTTTGAAAATGTAGAATATTATTTTTTATATTAGACAAAGAATAAATGAACAAAGACATACGTTAACCACGTATGTCTAGTCTTCTTTATTATTATATAAATAAAATAAATAAATAAATGTTTTATTCTTCCTCCAGTACCACAGAATCCTCATGGTGTTGACGTGGCTTCTGACAGTATGCGGTTTCATCATAATCCTTGTGGAAGTCGGTGGATGGTCCACCACTGGAGACAATCCTCACGCGATCACTGGCATAATCACTGTGGTGTTGTGCTTCATACAACCTATAGGTGAGTTGATAATATAATAATAAATACAAAAACGGGCGAGCCTTACAGTAGTCGCGTATGTTTAACATTTGAAACCTCACCTTATATTAGTTAAATAAGAAATAAAACCTACTACAAAAGAAATAAGACATTTCAACATTATGTTCTAAAATCAAATAGCGCGCGCTTTCGCGACTTCCTGTTACACACTTCCGTCCCATTTCACGAAATCACTCCCACAAATTGTAGGAAAGCGAGAGGAAAGATGTTATACATCAATAAATATTTCTACCACACCAATTAGCCTAGCCCCAAAGTAAGCACTGTCAGGCTTGTATTATGGGATGCTAGAATAACGGATAGAATACATATACTGTACATTTATAAGTATATTTATATAGAAATACATATTAAACATCCATGACTGCGAGTACAAGTTCTCATATTCATCACACAAACATCTGCCCCCACCGGGATTCAAACCCTCTCGTGTCGGCGACACCATGAAAGCGGCGTACAAACCACTCGACCACAGAGGTCGTTCTAAAAATATGCTTAGCGTAAATTGTATCTTAAGACGCTATTGAATTTTGAATAAACTTACACTTAGAAAACTGTAGTTTAGGGCTTGTTACCATTCACCATAATAGTAAAATAAATCCAAAAGCATTTATTTTGGACGCAAGATCCGTATCAAAAACTGTAACATCAAAACAAAATTACAGTAAAATAATTAAATTAAATTTAAAAAAACCGGCCAAGTGCGAGTCGGACTCGCGCACCGCGGGTTCCGTACAAACTTGAATTTTCAAAAATATTTATATTATATGATGTAACTAAAAATTTACGGATTTCGCAGTTGTTCTTTATTCTGTACTATAAAACGTTACTTCGTACCAAATTTCAAGATTCTATGTTCACGGGAAGTACCCTGTAGTAGGTTTTGATTCCCGTGCGAGTTTCGAAAATTTGCGGCATAAGCGGCTGTATCTTTTGATTGCTTTAGCTTAGAAGTTTGATTTTTTCACAGCTCCAAGGGACAGTAGACATGAGTATTAGATAAGAATTTCAGTTTGATAACTCCACGTGTTCCTGAGAAAAACGGTCTTGACATATGTTTTTAGCTGCACTGCTGTCTAAATAGTACAGTTCTGATGTAAAACCATAGCGTTTAAATTGATTTATCTAACATTTGCAGGAGCCTACTTCAGACCACACCCGGGTACTAAAAAGCGACCTATCTTCAACTGGCTGCATTGGTTAGTCGGCAATTCTGCACACATCCTTGGAAGTGAGTTGTTATTTTCAAATTGATAATTCTTCTTTTGTTTAAGAAACTATACTGAATAATATTACTCAATTAATGATTTCTTTACTTTAATGTTTAATTTGTAATCAACTTCTGGCGAAGCCCGAATAAAATCAAGTAAAAAATTAATCTTTTCACAGTTGTAACAATCTTCCTGGCGGTGTACTTGCAAAAAGCTGAGTTGCCATCGTGGAGCGTCTACATTATGGCCGCATTTGTAGTTTTCCACGTGATTATGCATATAGTATTATCGGTAAGTTCAATTACCTTGATAATAATCGATGTTTTATATGAAGTAGTCACATTCAAACTGAAATTATATACATGTATATGTAAACGCCAGTCCTTGTGAGATTGGTAAATTATCAATAAGTGAGACAGATATACTCAACTGTCTCACAAGCCTGCATAGTCACCTTATCACCCATCCCAAGCTCGCAATCTAAAATTTCTGATTCAATAACTATTCCTCGAGAAGTGGCGACTGCAGAATCTTGAAATTTCCATTGAAAATCCGTTTCAATAAAAATAAGCAACGATTTGATAATGTGTTTTTACATGGATGATTTGATAAATAGAACAGAGTTAACATAAGACAAAAACATACAAACTTGTTAGAATATAAACATAGTTCTAATTGATATTGCCCGTTTCCAGCTGACAGTATGTGTATCAGATGGCAGGATAAGCAACGGCCGAGTGAACGCGTTTCCAATGAAAGATATGTTAGGACAGACACGGCAAACTTCACAAGTCGACAGAAGCACAGACGCGCCGGTAAGAAGCTAACCTAGAAAATCCTTAACTACTGATATTGACTAGAAGATTTAAAAAATCGGCACGAGAAGCTTGCATTGTCTCAACACGTTAACAGCATACTTTCCTACATTTAGTTGTAACAAACTATATATATTTTTAAAACTGATTAATACAGTATTACATTCCATGCCGATAACTTCAAATGGCTATTCATATTCGCTATTTGTTAACTTGGCAGAAGTCTCTCCTTTTCATACCCTATAGAATATGATAAGGACAACCTACTGTCAAAGTGATAGCAAATACGAATAGCCATGAGAAGTGTATGATGATACTTCACATCGCCGAAGCTTACAAATAGAATTTTCAGACAAAAAAGTGCTAGCTAACTTATACTGACCATTGATTCTACATAACAATATTATACGTATACACATACTGACACTGAAAATTTTTAACTTACAGCATTCCATTTTCATACACCTGATCTAATGTAATAAAAATGTTATTTTTACAGTTCTCCAGCTTCAGAAGACTTCTCCTTGGCATCTATGCTCCAATCGTACTTCTGCTGGCTGTAGCCATGATTTGTCTAGTTGCGTTAGCACCGATCAGTGCCACATACAACAACATAATGGGTGCTTGATCGCTCAACATGAAATCTATTTTGTAAATATTCTACACAATAAAAGAATACCGTCTTATAAAATAAAAATATATTAAATTAAGTTCAACTAAATTTTTTGATCAATTTATATTTTAATAACCTTCAAGTAACCTCAAACTCATGATACTGCTGATTGTTATTTTTTTTGAATGTTTTTTCTGTTTATCATCCTCTTAGAAATACATGTGAATTTATAAATATGTGTGTAATAAAAATCAATTTTGTTATTCTATTCTACTTTAAGTAAGCCAAACTCTTCTTCTTCTATTTCTTTGGCAATATTTTGAATGCCACAAATTAGAACAAATAAGTCCTTAATCATTTCCAAAATGTTAATCTTTCAAATAACAATTCAGTTTTAATGTTAAATAGTTTTAAGTTATTTTAGTCACTGAATAATCATTTAAGGCAGATATAACTTATTTAGTATTGTCACTGTAAATATTTCAAATAAATTAATAAGATTACATTAAATTGTTTTATTATTAAACATTTATATACATACATTATTGACAGTTTATGTGTCCTCTTTAGGTATTTGGGATTCTTCCACAGTTCTCGAGGATGGTATGTAAACTTTGAATGAGAATTCTGTACGTGGGAAGGATCCAGGATTAATCACTTGGCAATCTTGATATGATCTTGTGTAAGGCTGGAAATGGTCAGCAACAACCACTAAATCTGGCATTGGATACAAACTTAATGCATCAGCATGTTTCCAGTATACAGGTTGTACACCTAAAGATAAGGGTGAGAGTGTACACTGACTCAGCAATGTTTTGGTCAAATGATCTGGTATATCCCCAGATTCAGGGAAGTGAATTGAATTTCTACACATCTTTGTGACCAAGTCCTGTCTGATTAAGACAAATTCTTGAGTGCAGTACTGTATACGACAAGGGTTTGTTGCAAATATGACGGAGTCACCTACTTTGTTCCTTATATCTTGTGTGATAGAGTCTGGTATTGCAGGCCTTGGCAGTATATTCGCAGCTGCTGGATCTCCTCTGCCCGGTATAAAAATAAACTTGCATGCCTCTTTTAATTTAGTAAACTGATAAATTAGATCTCCCAAGCTAGCAAGAGCTGCTTTTAGTTGAATACTGTGCTCATATCCATAAGGACAAGATAAAAATTCACCAAGAAACACAAAGGCAATAGGTGGAAAGTCATTGTACCCAGAAAATAATGTTTTCAATTTTGCCATTACTTTCAAATTGTCAAACCATACATCGGATAAGAAAACAATCATTCCGTCTTCGTTTTCTTGTTCAATTTTAAGTAAATTCTGTGATTTTTTTAGCAATGTCTTTGATTTTCCACCAAAAGTGTTCAAGTTTCCAAAATAGGATAACGATGTGGCTCTGCTCTCTGACGGTGGAAGTACTAAACCCATGACATGTAAAACTTTGTCATCATAATAACCTTCAGCCAGAACAAAACTATTTTCTGTAAATAAGCCAGAGTGGTACCTCGTTTGTGTCATATCCAATAAAACACTGCCTGTAGGGTCTTCTAAATAAAATTTACCTTCAGTTAGTTGAGTTAGAAGGCCTAATACTATAACCTCATCAATTTTACTTGAAGAACTTAACAAGACTTCTATTTTTCGTAATCGAAACCTGTTTTCTTCAACTCCGGAAGGTAGTACTTCTTGAGCAAACAACTTGTTTCTTACAGTTCTTTGCCATATAAGTGTATATCTGTCAATTAAGTACTGAGCTTTCCATTTAGGCTCTGGATACAAGTTGTTGCCGCTGTTTACATCCTTTGTGAATCGATTTCTTTCACTATCGTAATTTATTTTCGGTATACTAAATGCGTCAATTACGTTTAACACCGTTTCGCATTCTTCTAAGCCAAATGATGAACATTCTCTATAGGCAGTCTCTAGATGTTCTTTTTCCAGAACCGGTTGGGATAAGCACTGTCGTAAAAGGTGGGCTGTGAGTTTATCTATCATTTTCTGCCTTTCTGATGAAGATAGCGGGGATAACTGCTCGGCAACAAAATTGCTTGCTTCTCGTCGTATTGTAAAACCACTAAGTTTAAAAGCATTGTTGACTTCTAGCCGAATTGTGTGTAAATCAGTCATAGCACTTACTTAATCAGGGTCTTATGATTTATACCGTCTAATTATCTGAATAGATATTTTTTTCTTTAAACTTTAAATAAAACACAACATTTGCCCGCCAAAAGCAACACTTCAGACAAAATAAAACTTTTACAGAATTCCAATGTCACTTTGACACATATTTTTTTGTAATATTCTCCCTTTATTGAGAAGGCAAAGGATTACAAGTTCATACAGTCATCTTTATATATATATATTTTTGACATTGGCATGAGAGTATTTCGGTGGAACTACACTTATCTGCATTGAGGTATAAGAGTAGAGTAGGGGAGATATACACAAGTGGAGTCCCTGAACAAGAAAGACTGCTAGCTTTCCCTCTCTAATCGCGCATACGCATTGGCAACCGTAAGTATCTTACTAATTCGATGTGATGCCATTGGATGCCACGCGTCACAAGAGAGAGAGATAGCTAGTTGTCTCTCATCTTCTTTCTCTTTCTACTAGACAGACACTTTTAGAGCCGCCTTCCCCACTTTATTCTTATACCTCTATGCTTAATCGCCTGTCCCAATGGACGAAATTAAACTACTACTACCTCTATGCTTAACTGTCGTGTTGTGTTGTGACATCTCTACTTAGTATGTGGTTGTGATTCTTCAGAGAGCTGTGATTTGTTTCATGGGCATTTTCATTCCAAATAGCGTGTTTTTTTATTATTTTCAGTACAGTGTTGCGATACGTATAGAAACGGGATAGCAGCATACACTAACCCCTAAAAAAGAGAGAAACGAAAACACTAACATATTTATGTTTCATCTGGTCCTACATTGTAATTTTTAAGTCTGGGGTTCTGATGCCTCTTTGGCACGTAATTACGGAGACAGTTTTCCCATGGTTTTCTCGTTAAGCTTCTGTGAGGTTGTCAGTGCTAAGACCAACTTTTTGACCTAAATAACGTATGTTTTACAAATTATACTCATTTTTCTATTATAGCTAACCAAAATCTTACTACTTTTATAATACAAATATCCACTTTGAATTATTCAGTAAATTTAAAAAAAACGTCAACTATGTTCAGTAAAATCGCGAATTGCATCGGTTTCATAAATTCATTACCTTAGAGTTAGAGTAGAAACATATTTGTAGGTCGTGTTATGTCGACATGAAAATGTGTTACCGGCGCGTCACGACACGCCACGACACGTATTTACGGGAAACATATTTATGTTTCTGCCTTTAGTCACTATGCTTGCCCCTTTTCGCGATGGCCCGTTACGATTTCCCACTATAATAATGGACCATCTTATAAGTGTAGAGCAAGGTGTAGAGGGGCCATGACATGAGATGAAAATCGTTGAAGTGCCAATCTGTGCCATTGCTTCAACGCTTGACATTGACACTTGACTTATTGTTTTGGAGTGTCATGTCAAGTGGTTGAATCATTTTGCAAATTGTAAGAAAAATAAAGTAGGTACCTAATCATTTATTAACTTGTTTTGTAAAACTTATTGTGATTTTTATGCGATTTTTAACACCGCTACCTGTCGTTGCGTCCTTTTGCAAACCAGTTTTGGTAAGATGACATTAACTGCGTAGTATCTAGTGAATTTAGTAAAATAGTTTTTCATTTTCACTCTCGTGTTCAGTGGTAAAATAGAGCGGTAGCGTTTGCAATGAATGGATCCAGAACAACTATGATAAGCGTGTATTTTGTTGCGTTTTTTTATTTTATGTCATTTCCCTGTGCGATGCGGGTGGTAAATGTAAATAAAAAAATACATTAATTTTCTAATGTTTATTTTCCAACTATTAGTTCGACTAATTTCTTTTATTAAAATCTTATGCCCTTGCTTTACGAAGAGTTTTTAAAAAAAATATTAATAAATTCTTTATATATTTTTAGGCAAAGGCATACAACATGGATATATTGAGGCATTTTCAGAATATTTCTTGGTAAGTTTGTTTTTAAATATTTACTTACAGCAGAATAAAGAATAACCTGTTAGATCATTGTTTATCTTTACCACCTACCTTTATCAGTCAATGTGAAGCTAATTTCTTTAAAACTTACCCCTTAATTATTCTTTGGAATTTTTTATAAAATATTCTTGAAATGTTTGGTACCTTAATAACTTTAGCTGAATAGTTTTTCCAGGCTTGTATGAACAATTGTTATCAAATTAATTTATCACTTTTTATCCTAAAGCTGAAAAAAAACAGAGTTCACCACAATCTTGAGATTTTATATATCAAATGACTTGTTTTTTTTTTGTTAATTGGTTGCCTTTAGACCAATATTTGAAATCCTACTTAAGATAAAACAATCTTCAATTGAATTTTTTTTGTCTTTACTGGAATGTAAAATGTAGGTCTAAAGAAGATGTTTCAACAAATTAAAGAACATGTAGCATTTTGAGTTAGAATATAAGGTTAATCCGATTTTATACAAATGGAGATGGCAGTAATTATTTAAAATGAATAATTTATACTTTAATTACATTATTACTTTAACTGAATTATGAATCTGTTAGGTATATAAATAATTCAACACCACCTGACGTTAAGTGGTGGTAAAGTCTAGACGTGAATATAGTTGGAGCACCAGTTTTGACCACACCAGCCATCCTTACCTTGCTGGACTACACAAATGCTTCTTCACGCCTCTCCAAGGTTGCTGGATTATAGCAAGGAGGGAACATATGAACATTAATCTCCATGAGCCCTGATAATGTCCTGACAGCTGGAGCAGCCAGGATCTACAATTTCAGACAAAATTGTTTACAAAGGAGTTGAATATGATGTTTTTTTTTAGGTTAAAAATGTGGCAAGCACCAAATAAGTTTATGACCTTCCATAAGATTAGTGGCCACCATAAGCTATAGATACTTCGGATACGAAAATTATTACTAAGACTGTTGCCTATCCTGACCCCATCCCCTTCCCCCGTGGAGCCCTGGTACCTCATTCACTGTTAAAAACACAACACCACCAAAAGGTAGTGTTGTTTTACTGACTGTGACTTCGCCTATGGGCAAGCGCACCAATTTGAGCTGCCGTCTGGGGAAATTGCCATAACCATTGTAATATTAACATTTTCAAATTAAACTTGTAGGTGTAAACCAGACTGGTGTTTCCCGAGCATGAGTAAAGAGACGAATGAATTACTCCGCCAGTGCACTAATCTGCCACAGATCCAGCTGTCAGATGACATAGAGGAGATAATTAAGAGGAGCAAAGCTTTTCCTATACCGTTTCCTATCGAAAGTGTCAGGTAAATTAAAATTTGTTGTTCTTATAATCTTAAGATCACAAAATGTGTAACTTTAAAAAGATACTGGCTCCCAACCTATTGTTTAGGAGTCACCGAGTCAGAATACCGGTTTTGAGTACCGGTATGTATCAATAATATTTTTTTTCTTTCAAATAAAAGAAAATGCCATGTTCAAATGGTAGCATAGAGGCAGTATGACAATCCCGATAGTATTATGTAGTAAGTTTAAAGTTAAAGCAAATCATGTCCATTCATTTGTCAGAGTATCTTTCGTTTTCAGCTGAAGCTACTACTATGATAATGATATGTACTAATATGTTTAGTGAAAACTTTGTTGATGTATGCTATTTTCTATATTTAATTAATCTAAATGTAATAAAATATGGTTTGTATCCCAAATAAAAATAAAATAAAAACATGCATGAAGAAAAACAAGAGTAATGTTTTTCACTATTTAAAGAAATATGTGATAAATATATCACAATAAGGCTAAGTCCAGATGGTCGTGCGAAGATGATAGTTTCTTAGTTTATTGTGACCTAGGGTTGCCAAACCTACTATATAATATAGTATCCTACTATATTAGGGAATCAAATGCTATATTTATAAAAAAAATATATAGTAGGCGAAACTACTATATTTTGCTTAAAGTAGACTTTTGCCAGTAAATGGTTTCTTAAAAATAAAAAATAATTATTAAAGCTTAGACCAGCAAATATATATTTAAGTACTTCAAAAATAAAGTAAATATTTTAACCACATATCTTTTCCATTTTTGGCCATCTACTGTATTTTTAGAGATATCAGTACCCTTAGTACGAGTTTTACAATTACGAAAACTATGATAGTTTTCATGAGCTCGCACAAACTGTCAGTTTACCTCATCAATGGTAGTACAAGTTAATTTTTTCGAGCATCGTTTAAACAATATCGTCCATCGTTAACGCTATAGTACGAACTTCACGGTGCATATTTTCATCTCTCTTGCACGCTTAGAGAGAAAAAAGGACAGACTTCTGTTTAATATGGATGTATAACTAATAACGAAATTAACTTAATACTGCCGATTAAACTTCATTACAGTTTCCGCTAGAGGCGCTGGTGTGAAATGTATGGAAACAAAACGAGACGATTAAAGTTTTCTAAAACTATCAAAACTCTTACTAAGGGTACTGTACCCTGTACATCTTCGAAAATACTATATTTCATAGAAAAAAAGTTGGAAACCCTAATCACGACGCGCGCGTAAACGCGGGTTTATACGCGTTTTGATTTCCAATAATCGAGTATCTGCCCAATCAGTAGATCCGCGCGACTTGTCGCGTGCAAACGTATGGGGTAGCGCAAAATGGTAGCTGTATTTATCTGAAGCCAAAGCACGTTTTTTTTCTCTCTTTATCTGTGGCTACAAACAGTCATACATTTTAATATAATTGTTCTGTGGTTACAGTGAAATTATAAGAGACGACCTACAGTGCCAGCAATTTAACTTATTATTTACAGAAAAACATTATAGAACAAGTATTGTACTTAAAAAAATACATAAAAAGACAAAACATATAAACATGCAAAAATATTTGAATTTAAATGTTGTCTTTTAATTTTAGTTTAAGAAATTTCTTTATATTACTATGTGAAATATTAAATAGGTATATCAATGTTATTGAAATTATTATTATAATTGTTGGTGGAAAGATAAATAAAGGAATTTTGACAGCTCTGTGATCGTATCGGATCGTCAAAGTATTTTTACGAAAGTAAGCGATGACGTAAGAACAAACTGGGTTCTTCCATACATAATTTGACGATGACGATATGATTATGGAGCTATCAAAATTCCTGCTTGGGCCTCAGTACCCCTAGCACGAACCATTATCGAATCGAATAGTTTTGGTTTGCGAGTGCAAAATGTCAATGTCAAATTTTGTATGGAAAATTGAAGAGCAGCGCCACAAAGTACGTAACGAGAACTAAAAATCAGTACACATTTGACAATGACATTCCGGACTCGCAAACTATTCGAATTCGATATTGGTTCGAGCTAAGGGTACTGAACTCTCTTGACGCGCTATCACGCACGTCGATGCGTGACTATCTGAACATCTGAACTTAGCCTAAAGTTGTGCATATCTAAGGACAAACAAAATAGGTAAGCTGATTCAAATATTGTAATTACCGATGGACTGAATCAATGTTGTAGAAAGTTAGATTAAACTTGGAATATAAATGCTCTTTTGCTGTGGTCTTGTGCCGTTATAATTAGCGTGAGATCCACAGCTCTAACAATTACAAAAACTTTAAATTAGGTATTTTAATTGGCAATATTTTTTTATTATGCCATAACCATTTTTATGAGCATACAGCCTTAGACCAATTAGAGTGACCAATTAACATTGAGCTTTGCTGCAATATCATGTGCTCATGACAAAAGGTTACTACTGTAAGTATTATATAAGTTCGTGATAGGTCGTATTAGTTCCTTATATTGACAGAATAGAGTTTAGTTTCCGACATCTTTTTTTATTAAAACCAAAGTGTATTTTATCCCGTTACTAATTTAAGGAGCTGACAAGCTTTTAAACGAATGCATTATTTTAGAGACAGCTAATACAAAAGTCAATCACAATATTCAAAATGAGTATGACTGATAAACAAGCTCTACTTAATAAAGCACAGAACAGTGCAGCATACATAGCCATTTGGTTACCCTTAGGGTGACAATGATGTCGATTCTATCTTGATTCTCTAAATGTAAACTAAAATTTGACATCGGTGTATCCTTGTTATTCTCTATACAGAATGAAAAGGAGATATTGATGTTTAATTAAGTTTTAAGTATAGAGAATCATGCCAGAATCCACACCAATGGAAGATATTTAATTGCTAGAATCTTATATCTTAAGAAAATTATAAATCCTCAGGTTATTATATATATTAGTGATTGCAGAATAATGTCAGACTTCATATAATAGTTGCCTAGTATAATTTGCTATAAGCATTTATCTTTCACAGATTAGAGAAGTTGAAAGAGAGAAGGCCGATACAAAAACTGAAGAAGAACATAGTGTCAACGTATCCTCTTATACACGAACGAGTGTTACTGCTAATGACGCACTTTCTTATATACAAACGGTGCGTATTATTTTTATTCATTTTAGTACTGAAATGCAGGCACAAAAGGTGTATTTATTTTATATAACATAAATGGAACTTACCCGTTCTGTCAAATAAATTGAGTGATAAAGACAATCTAAGAGCAATGACGATCAGATTGTAACATGGTACTGATATTTAATTAGAAGATAGAAGAAATGAAAAAGGAAATATTTAGTGCAATATAATCATTTCCGAGCGAAACGAAAATGGACCATTTCTATCCAAAATTTCATTCCCACAGCAAATCCCTGTCTTCCATAAGAGAAATCAAAACTTCAATTTTAATCTTTTCTAAGCCGTAGTGCTACCTTTAATAACAAAACTAGCTGTGCCCCGCGGTGTTACCCGCGGTTTATTAGGGATATTTCCCGCAGTAAAACGTAGCCTATATGTTAATCCAGGGTGTCAGCTAAATCCATACCAAATTTTATTAAAATCGCTCCAGCCGTATAGATTTGAAGAAGTAACAAACATACACACTCACAAACTTTCGCCTTTATAATATTAGTGTGATACCTGACGATGTCGTCGCCCTGACAGACACTAAGCTTAAAGACTATATTAAAAAAATACTAATTGGTAAGGCCTATTACAAAGTTGAGGATTATATAACAGACAAATGTACTTGGAATTAGATTAACTACTTTGCACTAGCGATGCACTGGTTGTTATGTTAATGAATATAGGTACCTACTCATATACATTGTAAACTGTTTCATTTTAAAATGATATTTTTTTGTGTTAATGGAAAGTGACTTCATGAGTTATCTCTTATTGAAGTCATTTTTCAATTTTACGACTCTGTATATAATACTCTACTAATGAGGAGCTCGATGGCGCAAGTGGTTAGCGCGTTCGGCTGCGATCGTTGAATTTAAGCAACTTTCGCAGTGGTCGGTCATTGGATGGGTGACCAAAAATCTTCTATCTCGAGTTCCTCCGTGCTTCGGAAGGCACGTTAAGCCGTTGGTCCCGGCTGCATCTGCAGTCGTTAGCACCCGCCAATCCGCATTGGGCCCGCGGGGTGGGTCATGGCCCTATCTCCCTATTCCATCCATAGGGAAGGCCTGTGCCTCAGCAGTGGGGACATTAATAGGCTGATGATGGTGCTGATATAATACAGGGAGAATAAAATAGCCCTTGCTGAGTTTCTTGACGGTTTCATCTCGGTAAAAGGTCTCCCGCCGTAGATTTGCGAACCGGTGGCGTAGCTTTTCGACATTCACTAGTGCTTGTAACAGCCTAGACTGAATAAAATAAATTGTTTTTTTATAGATGACGTCAATAAGTGTCTGTACGGGCATAGTCTTCTAATTTCATCCTCCATATTTTACTTGTCCTCCGTGCGCCGCGACTACCAGCCGAATAGTAATATGTAATATGCCAATATTATATCCGACCAGACAGGATTCGTGATTGAACTTCCGGTAAATGTGTCGGCGTTGACAGTTTTATCGCGCCGCGCTAATTTGAATAGCGGTTAGATTAAAACAAAAAGGGAAGAAACGGTACTCGCGGCTCAAAAGTGATTCGCTTAAATTGTGGTGCATGACCACAATTCGCTTTAGTCACAATTAAACATTCCCCAACAAGGTGGACTGAGGGACGACATCGTCAAATGTGCTGGGAGCCGCTGGATGCGGATAGCGCAGGACCGCGCATTGTGGCGTTCTATGGGGGAGGTCTATGTCCAGCAGTGGACGGAGAAAGGCTGATGAAACATTCAAACACGCTGCATGTGCACTCAATATAACAATATTGCGTATATTCTAATAATATTCTGTGTTAAAAAGCTAAAACAATGCCTTCGATGCTTTTATGGAGAACACACATAGTTTAAAATCGAATGCCTCGGCAACACTTTTCATTAGTAAAACTTTAATAACATTTTTCTTACGACTTCCGTGGCTGAGTGGTTTGTACGCCGGGATTCATGGTGTCACCGACTCGAGAGGCCCCGGGTTCGAATCCCGGTGGGGATGGGGATGTTTGTGTGATGAATACGAGCATTTGTACTCCAGTCATGGATGTTTAATATGTATTTCTATATAAATATACAGTATATGTATTCTATCCTTTACCTAGCATCCCATAACACAAGCCTTACTGTGCTTACTTTAGGGCTAGGCTAATTGGTGTGAGTGTCGGAAATATTTATTTATTATTTTCTCAAAAATCACGGTTTGTCGTGAATGTTATTTACGTAATCGCCATTTTGTTATCAAGAAAAGGACAAAAATACAGTTTCGCTCGTGCTGCGTTGAAGAGTACAGTTAAAATACTGTCTCGCTCGCTCGATTGAATGTTTATATACAGACGTATGCGTGTGTGAGAGTTACTTATGTAGTTGAGTTGGATCATATTTTATTAGATGCTAGTATGAGCGTACCGTATCTTCCCTTTTTGTTTTAATCAAAGAAGTAGCGCTATTTAAATATATAGGGTGAAATTGAATGTTTCTATGAAACTTCGTGAGATTGTTGGGTTATGTGTATAGAGTATGCCTGTCTTTTTTCGGATTTTTTTGAAGTATATTTTTTTCATGTATTTATTTATAATTTGTGTATTTTTATGTCCTTTCCTCGTTTTGAGTAGTTATTCATTTTAAACAAACTTACATATCCAGTGAGAAACAACTAATAAATAAGCACTTCTAAAAAACGGAAAAACATTGAAATTCCACCGCGGGTCAACGACCGACCGCGCCCGCCAGCCGTTGAGTAAGTAGCTACCTAACTCTACACAGAGCTCAACTGACTCGTTTGATTCCACACAATAGGTACAATAAAATCGTCTTAGATGCCTTTATTGAAATTGAAATAATAAGCACAAATGTCATCTTTTCTTAAGCAGAGAAAAACTTTAAAAGTTAATAATAATTTTGTCACGATTGGAAATAGGCAAATGTTAAACAAAAAGAAATACTTATTGCTTAATACCCCAAGAATGAAATTTATAACCAGGTATTCAAAAGTACTTACGAGACCGGCGATTTAGGTAGGTACAACGAGGAACGAGGAACATATTCATTTTTTTCACTAGAACTTTTTATCAAATCAATCACACTGGTAGTACACAATTAGTTGTTTCTAATCAAAAAGTATTTACACTAGCAATAAAAAGAGACTTAAATTATTATCTGCAAAATTATTGCTCTAAACCACCATTTTGCTGCAAACAAAGGTTGCCTGTTTGCGGACGTGTCTTTTCACCTTTTTTAAAGTGTCCCTATCACTACTCACTGCACAAAATGCAACTTCTATGGTTTAGGGACTCATTCGTAAACCTAACCTACTTCGTCACACTCGCGATAGCAGTACACCATCTCTAAATATTCTTGGTTTGTATACCGAGGCATAATGAAATTATCACAGTGTATGTCACCAAGTCAAAAGATGCGCACGCTCACGCGCGATTGATATACTTGCGACTGCGTTTTGCATGCAATCGAAGCAAACGTCCGCGTGCGGGGAAGAGGGGAGGTGGGCGGAATTCACATCATCAAAGACGCCGCAACCGGCGCTAGTTGCCAGCGTGCGGCGCGCCGCCCGCCCGTGCTTGCCGCAAAACAACATATTATTATGTGTGTGTGTGTGTATGTGTGACTGTGGCTGTGATTAAATGTGTTCGGAATTTCATGACGTGGGCAAATCAGACACGAAGAGTTCCTTCCTTCACTAAGCTCGTAAGTTATACCGATTTGCTCTTAATTTTAAGAAGATTTATTTTATTGATTAATTACCTGTGCTTTATGAAATAATATTCAAAGGTATTGTGTATCAGTGAATAAATAATTATAATATAGCATCTAAGACTATTTTATTGTATTGTTTTTAAATAGTGTGGATCAAAGCGAGTAGGTAAGCGCCGAGTCATCTGTGCGTGTAGTTAGGTACCTACAGGCGGCCGCCGGTCGTCGCCCCGACCGGCGGCGGTGATCTCGACTGGAGGCATAATGAAGGCATTCATTAAGTTTCCGTTTTTTTAGTAGTGCTTATTTTAAGTTGCTTTATAACTTCTATGTAGACGTGTTTAAAATGAATAATTACTCATAAGGAAGAAATGACAAAAAATAACCAAATAAAAAATTAAAAAACGAAAAAAATTATTTTAAAAAATCCGAAAAAAATCAGGCATACTCTATACATGTAACCCATCAATCTCACGAAGTTTCATAGAAACATTCAATTTCACCCTGTATATGCATCTGACACGTTTTTCATTGCGTTAAATATTGCCTTCCAGCATAATGCTCAGAGACTAATAAATTCAACGAGTATTTGATTACTGATTTTTGACGTTTTTAGGGAATTCGGCACAAGCATCGAGAAGGCGTTCTATAAAGATATGACAGTGCCAGAACTTATTGACAGATTGTTGAAGAAACGCGCTGTCACATTCATGGGAGCTCAGGACACATACAAACTGCTTACTGGCGAAGAAGAGTAAGTATCAGTTGATTCATGCACCATTATAATTTAATTATCTTAAAAAAATATTAGGAAATAATTATCTCGATGCACATATAAACTCATGTGAAGGTACTTACATAAGAATTTAAATGGTTTATGTTAAGATTTTCGTTGTATATAATAACTAGGGCACGGATGTATAAAAAAAATCAAAATATGTACATATTATATGGACTAAAATACTTTTGCTATGGAAAAAATATGGATTGTAAAATAAGGATATATTTCATATTAAACATTGTTTATGGTGAAAAATTACTATGTAGTAACAGTTACATTAAAGAAATAATAAAAAGATATCGAAATGTTCAGGTAATTTAAATTAAAAAAATGAAGATATTCATCTTCCTCTAAATCTGTATTATTAAATTGATTGCAATACACAATCGCATGCTTTTTTAAATTACCGAAATTGATTGCGTTTTAATGAAGACCTTATGCAGTATCCATTAAAGGTGAATTTCAATGTTTAAATAATGCCTTATATTTTTTTTGACTACGCGTTCATCTTACGTAGCATCGTGTATCGTCAATGTACCTTTTGGACAGGTTTCAGGCACGATTTTGTTCGTGATGTTGTTGATCTAGGGTATTTAATATTGTTGGGTTTGCATGATAAATAGACTAAGTATTTGACAGTATGAAAAATAAAGAATCAAATTTTTATATTTTATATTAAAGTGAAGACGGCTGGGAACAAGTGGGTAGTCTCCATCAGAAACCGCCCTTACTACTAGAGAACGTGTTGAGCTACGATGAAATGAAGTTATCTGCTATGGTCTATGTCAGTGGACCGACGGAATGTATTAACGACGGTTCTAGGAGTAACTCCGGAGTGGTCAGAGAGGATCAAGCTGAGACAGATGCTATTATCATCGGTGAGTTGGTTTATTTAAAGTTTTGTTATAAATTTCATTGAATAATTATTACAGGCTGTTTAACAGTATCTATACATATACATAATAAAATGGTAGGAAAGTCAAAAGTGTACATAGAATATTTTTTTTAAAAGAATACTTGGGGTGTGATCTACAATCGATACCGAAGCCAAAAATATAGTTTTTAGAATTTTTGTTTGTTTGTCTATGTATGTCCGGGATAAACTCAAAAAGTACTGCGTGGATTTACTTCAAATTTTTTGAAGCACGACCCTTTGGTTATACACAGCAGTCATCAGGCCCTCTATAACCTATGGTTCAGTTGTTTGGTGGCCCAGGACCCAACTGACCACAGTGAAATCCAAACTCCAAAGTCTACAACGCTTGGCGAGCGTAGCAGCAACTGGATGCATGAGAACAACTCCATCGGCTGCTTTAGAGTACCTCATGAATTTAAGACCATTGGACCTGGTCATACAAGAAGAGGCGAAAGCAGCAGCCTTGAGACTAAAATCTCTAGGATTATGGAGATTAAATACTGTAACAACACACTCCAATATTCTACAAAAGTGCACAAAGGAGATTCCACTCCTGGAGGCACCTATGGATAGAGTATTGAGTCAACACGTTTTTGATCGAAGATACAACATCCAACTTACCGCGGAAAAGGCAGATTATTCTGGCGCCGGGGAAGTTAGGATATACACGGATGGCTCCAAAACCAACAGTGGTACTGGAGCCGGTGTCTTCTCAAACGACCTGAATATAAAAATATCCACAACCTTAGGCAAACAAAGCACAATCTTCCAGGCGGAATGTATTGGCATTACCAGAGCGGCACAGGCGGTTGCAGCCAGAGACATCAGAGAGTATAACATCAAGATCATCTCTGACAGTGCATCCGTGCTTCAAGCCCTACGTAGCAACACAATAAACTCTGTCCTAGTAATGGAGTGCCACAAGGCACTTCAATCCATTGCGGTTAGCAACACGGTAACTCTGCAATGGATAAAAGGACACAGCAGCTCAATCGGAAATGACGCAGCAGACGAGCTGGCCAAGAGGGGAGCAGACACAAAAGTGTACGGTCCGGAACCTTTGCTGCCCATACCTCAGGCCCAAATTATAACGTGGCTGCGTGAAATAACTCAAAAATCACACTTGATGGAGTGAAAAACAGGTGAAGGATGCCGGCAAACGAAAAACGCGGTTCCGGCGGTAAATAAAAGTTTTGCCCGCACCCTTACCAGACTAAATAGGGACAAACTTCGCAGGATTATAGGATCCCTGACTGGCCATTGTCCCCTAAACAAACACCTATATACAATAGGAGTAACGGACAGCCCCCTGTGCAGAGGATGCATGGAGGCGGAAGAAACGCCACAGCATGTCATCATGGAATGCAGGAGTGTGGCCGACCAACGGGCACGACTTCTCCAGTCACCAGAATCGTTTCCGGAAGCTTGCAGCAGTCTACCAAGGTTGCTTTCCTTCTGGACCGATTTAGGCTGGCTGGAGTAAACGAGAATGTTTTTGAGACACGCACAATGGTCCAATAATTAGGACTAAGTGCGGAAACCGCCCTGAAGAACTAACTAACTAACTAACTATTTCAAATTTGGCACGAATTTTATTAAGAAGCGAGAATCCATTATCCATTATTCACCCTATTCCATCCATAGGGAAGGCCTGTGCCCCAGCAGTGGGGACATTAATAGGCTGATGATGATGATTATTAAGAAGTCGGGTCATCATATAGGCTACATATAATCACGCTATCACCTACGGGGAACGAGCAGTGAACATTTATTTCCAAGTAACTCCACGCTTACGAAATTGCGGGCGGCCGCTAGTGAAAAATAAAGTATCAATTGTTGGCATCTGTATTTAATATGAATATTAGCAGGGATTTTATTATTCTGAGGGAACAAATAATGAATAACTTTCCCAAAAAATTATTACAAAAAAATGCCTTGTTTTGTTCTATGGTCACGTGACCGAAAACGCCTGGGATTGGCGAAGACTAAAATGACATCACACGCTAGTAAACTTCCGGTAAAAGTGACATTGCATTGTATCGTTTGACGTTTTTATGATAGTCGCGTGAGGTCACGTGCTAGTGAGATGCCATATTGTCCATGGAAACGTAGGTAGACAAATGACTCTACCCCACCTAATAAGTGGTGATAAAGACCGAACGCGAGGATAGCTGGTGCAGCAGTTATAAACACATAATCATATCATATATAATATTTTTTTTATCTAAAAAGGGTTCAAATTGCATATTATATTTGTTTGATGGTAAGCGAGGTTGCTTAGCCTATAGAATAGACGCTTGATATTTTTCATCTTCTTTTCTTGATTTTTCAAAAAACCAACGACTATAACATCGTCGCAGTTGCGGTCGGAAGGTAGTGTCATCATCATCATTAGCCTATTAATGTCCCCACTGCTGGGGCACAGTCCTTCCCTATGGATGGAATAGGGAGATTGGACCATGACCCACCACGCGGGCCCAGTGCGAATTGGTGGGTGCTATCGACTGCAGATGCAGTCGGGACCAACGACTTAACGTGCCTTACGAAGCACGGAGGAACTCGAGATAGAAGGTTTTTGGTCACCCATCCAATGACCGACCACTGCGAAAGTTGCTTCAAACTTCAACGATCGCAGTCGAACGCGCTCACTACCTACGCTATCGAGCTCCTAAAAAATTATTGATAGAGTAAAATCTCTGTTCAGAATACATCAAATCAAATCGTTATCTTTTTATTGTACTATTTCTATAAGAAAAAATAATTTCTGACATCACAATTACTTTATTACCAGGCCTAATTGGAGCGCGTTTCGAACGCAAACTACGTATGGATTACGAAGATATCCTTATAACCGACCAACAGAACTGCTTAGAGAACGGTTACGGTGAAGAGGTGACGCCTACCACATGTCTGAACGTGTTGAAGACGACTTATGTGCGGAACAACCAGTCCGCAAGGCATATGTGGAGACAAATGTGGTCGGAATTCTATCAGGTAAGTGGGCAAATATAAATGATAAATGTGATTTCTCAACTCGTGGCAGTAATCATCCAGTGGCACAGACCAGTGCTGCCAGATCAAAAATCCGTTTGAGCGCTAAAACGATATAAAAAGCGAGATATCGAGAAAAACGCGCTTTAAAAAAGCGCTAGATTATGCGCTAAATTTATTACAGTTTTTTATTAAATAAAAAACAGACAAAATTCAACCATAACGTCAAAATAAATATATTTAATATTAATTCAAAAATAATCTTCCATAGCTTAAAAGGGCCAGCTTCATTATGGCCATTCATTTATTTTTTGTCTTGAAATATTTTTCATATAATTATCCCAATCCTAATCTGTCGCAGAATGTATAAGTTTATGATTTCTTTTTAACTTTCAGCAAAATTTAAACATGAATGAATAAAAACAAAACCTTGAACTAATGGCAGCAATATTACTACTTATCCATCATCGTGTTGTGTTATGATTGTGACGCATCACACAGTTATATCGGTTTCATACATTTAGTAGTACGGTTGGAGTGAGAATGGTGTCGAAACATCGCGACACACAAGTATAGTTCTAATCGTACTAAATATATGAAACCGATACCTCTATGACCCGTCACAACACAAGACAACAGATTAGTGTAGTTCTGCTATAAAAAAATAATAGAGGGGTTTCCCGAGGCTATTTTAATTATCGGTAATAGAGTGCTACAATGACATAAATGAAAAAGCTCCAGATTATCCGCTAGACGCTAAAATTTTGAATTAGGCGCTAACCACACCAGAAGAGCGCTAGATCTAGCGCGCAAAGCGCTAAAATGGCAGCACTGGCACAGACGTGGGGTTAACCAAATATACAGGGCTTATTTCGATGACAAAGTTACGTCAGATAACCGGCTTATATATATATAATTCACTTGCAGAGTCACACATTCAATATGGACTTAGTAGCTACGGTCGAACATACAAATCCTACCTAAATCAAATTAATAACCTTAAATTAAAAATACTTAAAACTACAGTTTCTAAAAATATTAAAAATATAAACCGGGATAATATAAATGGCATTTTCAAACATTGTAAAACCTTACCAATACATATGCAGGTCCAATATGCTTTACTCAAAGAGCAGTTTTTTAACAATTCTTTAAAAATACCAATTGCACATTCTGTATACACTCGGGCCACAGCTAAGAATCGGCTTTGCGAGCCACGCGCAAATAATGCATACGGTGAGCGTACAACTACCCACCTTTTGCCCCGACTTGTTAATAAATTGCCGCCAGAATTCCAAGACAGCATCACACATATGAATGTTAGTTATAAGTTGAAAGATTACTTTCTTAATTTGCTGTAACTCAGTTGTTTAAGAGCATTGTATAATACTATGTTTTAAGTTATGCAATAAAAAAATGTAAACTCCGATAGCGCAGTATAAACCTTAGTGGTTTTAGATGTTATCGCATGCCATTGTTTAATGATATTTTTAATATGGTAATAAATAATAAAAAAAAAAAAAAATGTAACACAATGATTTAGGCATCAAAGTTACTTGTTATTAACATAACTGCCCTGAAACATGCTTTTATAACCTATTTTAAAGTGTAGCATCAGTTTTGCTAAATCCCAATTCAACTAAAATTATATTTAGCCTATACAATAATATCAAATTGACATTGTTGTTTTGACATTTTTCAATGGGTTAAATCTAGTTTTTGTTGAATCGGAATTGAGTGTAAAATTTCTGCAGTATTAAACCATTGTTTCTTTAATCCTTAGGTACACAGTTACACATACGAAGAACTAATATCATACGTAACGTTACAAGACAAACCAGACGACAAGAAATACTTAGATCGCTATGTCACCTCACAAGACTCGATATTCGATAATGAAGTGTACTATAAAAGGATAACTATTTTAGCGGAAAGTGCTTTACTCGAAGCAGATTTTAGAGCAAAGGAAGTTAATAAAGATGCTTTTCTCAATATTATTGGATGTGGTAAGTTATACTTCATCCCCCTTATTAATAAACGACAAATACGCTTAGACTAGTTATGCCGTGTTTTATTTATGACACTCAAGTGTCATTTGTATTTCAATGAACTGAGTCAAAATATAGAGTTACTCATTCAAATTTTTTTTTTGTTTATTAATAATTCTAATTGTAATAAATCTTCTAATTTGTGTAATCAATATTCAGGAGCTCGATATCGCAGGTGGTTAGTGCGTTCGACCTGCGATACTGAAAGTTAAGCCACTTTCGGAATGGTCACCCATCCAATGACTGACCTGACCTGACACTAACCTGAATCAAGCTCCTCGAGCTGAAAGTGTCTATTCAAGTTCAAAATCCCTTCATTTTTTTAACAGGCCTCGGAGTATGGAAGATATCAGCACACCAAACAGACGTTTATGTCCTTACATTTCTGGAACGAATACGTTCGTTCCTAAAGAAAGACTTACTAAATCACGTATCAGATATAAATTTTGCTTACGTTAGACCGAGTGGGAGTATAATGAATTTGTTCGTTGACAATGGAAATGATAAAAGGATATTTTTTGAAAGCAAAAGGCATCCTAAAGGTGGTGTCAATGTCTCCATGGAGAATAGAGAGCCTTCGGCCAAATTGGTTGGGGAACATGAGGGTAAATTGTTGGTTATGACTTACCCTTGGGATGGTAATGCACACCCCGGAAATGAGTTTTGGTAAGTATTTTTTTTTCTATGTTTAGAGACTTGGGGGATGTTACAGAACTATTTTTTTTTTCATTATTAGCGGGATTCTTTTAACTGATTGAGATCCATCGTCATAAAAAAAACGACGGGCTGCACTCCGGGAGTGCCGGCAGAAGTGAAAACTTGAATATTAACGTTATGCATTTTTGATATTTTGGAATGGTTAGGGAATAATTTTGCACGAATTGCTTTAATTATCGGTATAAAGTACTATCATGTATGTGGTAGAATACAATATTTATTTATTGCGCTATCGTACACAAACATGACAATTTATATTACATTTAAAAAGTATATCTCTCCGAGAAATCAATTTAAATTAATCACGTTTAAGCTCATTTAGCGACATCTATTGTAAATAAAACAACTTAAAGTAAACAAACTTAGTAAAAAAATTGCATTTTCTTCGCAATAAAGTCGTCCACGTGGCAGGGACGTTCTAGATAGAGACTTATTGAAAGTCAACAACCTTTCCAATTTTATTGTGTGTCATGATGCGATCAGCCCACGTGTTTAACCTAACGCGAGTTTAACATTTTTACCCATACAAAAAAAAAAGTGTAGAACGCCGCTAAAGAAGTTTTCACTTCAAAAAGGTTAAGACAAAAATTGTTTTGAAGCAATATGGGATAGGTCGAAATAAAATTAAAGAAGTACTCAGGCGCTAGACTTACCTCTATAGACTCGCCGGAAGGGCATTGAACTAATCGCAAGGGTGGTTGAAGCAAAATCCGAACTCACTTTGGGTTGTCTATTTAATGAAATTTTCAACTATTTGCCAATGATTTTCTTGAATTTAGAAGCCAATTATCGTCTTATATTAATAATGTTTACTTTAATTTTACATAATGGAAGAATTTTCTTTTAAACCGCGCTAGCACTTGAGAACAATTTTACCGATTTTTTTTTAAAGTTTTCTAATACACAGAAATGTTGGACAATTTAAGAAATTTTGACTTACATCTGTCAACACTGTAAGTGGCTAAATATAGTGCCCCACAAACTGTTGTGGTCCAATTATTGGCATCATGTTGCTTCAGAGAAAGGGAAATGGTACCACGACATACAGAAGACATTGCCCGCCCGTCCGTGGTATCATCCTAAGCAACTTAAAGGAAATTTAAACCGTAACTTTATTACCACCACCTGCCGCATGAGATTTGGTCTCTGTAAAATTCCTGCTCATCTACACAAGATCCGAATTGCCAGAGATTCCAAATGCATATTCTGCGAAGAGGAAGGAGCAGACTTGAATCATCTGATTCTGAAATGCCGTCATCAAGATTTTAAATTAAACAGACTTTTACTGGTCAGTGAACTAAGTGGCATTGACAGCTTGAATAACGTTTTATCAAGTGATATTAGTGATGACAATATTCTGCCTAAACTGCTCAATAATACATTAAGTTTTAAACCGCTTGTTAAATATTTAAATAATTCAAATATAACGTTATAAAATTTATCAACACAGAAGAATGGGGAAAACTTTGAACGAAGAAAGGAAAACCTTCCTGGTCCGGCAGAAAAGGGCTAGAAGCCAGTGCCGTAAAACCAAAATAGAAAAAAAAAAAAACTAAATATAGTGTTTCCGTTTGTCTGTCAATCTTATTGATAAAATAAAGCTTATAATTTTTATTTTTTTAAGCATGCAACTGCATGATGTAAAATAATAACTATAATTGCTATTAATTGTTCTTTCATTTTTTTTCTTAAATCAAAATCAAATGTTTAATACTTGTAAAAGTATTCATTTGACATTGAGAGTTACCTACAATGCGAAGAGATGGCGCTGCCTTGCAGCTTAAAGGCCAGAAAGAATTCGACAAGGCCGTCAGGGCCGCGGTAGCATAATTGGTCAGTGCATTTGCCCGGATAGCGAAGGGTGCGGGTTCGAATCCCGTCTGCTGCCTGGTCCGCGTGGGTTTTTTTCTAGTAATATTTAAAAATAAAGCCTCTATCTCGTTTCTCCTCCATTAGGATCGGTAGTCTAACAGGTTCCGGCGATCCGGCAGCCGCTTGTTCCACGCAAATCGCTGAACTACACAACGCTCACATCAACCCGTCCGTCTGTTCCAACAATGTGAGAATAGCAGCCTCCAGCGTCGGAATAACACCCCTACCGAGTTACTGTGCCGCGGTTAATACGTAATGTAAGTAGCTTCTATATATCACACTAATATTATAAAGGCGAAAGTTTGTGAGTGTGTGAGTATGTGAGTGTGTATGTTTGTTACTTCATCACGTTTAAACGGCTGGAGCGATTTTAATAAAATTTGGTATGGAGTTAGCTAACACCCTAGAATAACACATAGGCTACTTTTATCCCGAAAAAATGTTAGTTTCCAGAGGGATTTTCAAGAAACTAAGTAAACGCAGACGAAGTCGCGGGCGACCTCTAGTAAACTATATGGCGACAGTCAAGATGACGCTACCAGTAGCAGGAAAGCCTACATCGCGCTGATGAAATTTGGAGGCCCACACTTATATACAGAGTCCATCAAAAATTGGTTAAGCCGCATTTCCAGGTCTAAGATCACTCAGCTTGGAGGAAGATTTTTTTTTAGCCAGTAGGAAGGCCTATTATACTATATTAATTGCGTTTAATAAATCACCACATTGTCTATACTATAGAATAACACCTCTACCGAGTTACTGTGCTGCGGTTAATACGTAATGTAAGTAGCTTCTATATATAAACTATATGGCGGCACTCAAGATGACGCTACCAGTAGCAGTAGTAGGAAAGCCTACATCGCGCTGATGAAATTTGGAGGCACACACTTATATACAGAGTCCAACAAAAATTGATTAAGCCGTAGTTCCCGGTCTAAGATCACTCAGCCTGGAGGAAGATTTTCTCTTCATGCCGTAGGAAGGCCTATTATACTATATTAATTGCGATATCAAAATCACCACATTGTCTATCTATACTAGCGGTGGCTCGTTCTCAAATTTTCTGACGACGAAACGCAACCGTTTTCACTTAAACAAAAACTAGTTTTCGAAACGGTTCTCGTTCGCAACTGGTTTTGTTTGCGGCTGGGTGACGCAACGAAACGACACGCGACGGTCGAACGAATGTAACGCAACGAAACTGGAGCTTTACTCTCTTTCTCCGAAACGAAATTTCGGTAACGAACGAATTTTAAACGAAATTTCGCCATTGACTATTTCATTTTCGAACAGGCACATTAACTTCGGCACCATAAACAGTTTTCGTGAACGAATGGAATGAGTCATGTTTGTGAATTCTTTTTATCTCTACTTTTAAGAAAACGTTTTTTTATTTGGAAACAATATAGGTAGTTTAAGGCAAATTTTTTGATGACATTGAAAGGACCTTCTTTGACAGTATTAGCCGACTATTTTGTAGAGTTGATACAATCTACTGTATGTCAACCTAAATTTGTCGTTTAATACTTTGAAGTAATGAAATTACAATAAATAATAAAAAAATGGTTTATTTGTTAATTATACATGCTTAAAATGATTCTCGAGCTAAGCAGCTATTATTAAAAATACTCTTACAAGTATTTTAGGTTTAATTAAAACAAAAATCTAAAAACGAAAATGAAAAGGTAACACTTTTGATTTCGTCAATTTAAGGTTAAAATTTCGAACAATTATCTGTCAAATTCAATTTTTCCTTCGAAAGTTTTGTGAATTAGAGTAGGCTTGGAGAATTTAATTGTCAAACTATTTCGGACGATCGAATTTTCGAAATGAAAAGGAAACAGAGTAAGAAACGTGCGAAATTTCGATCGAAATTTCGTTTCTCGTTGAAATATAGTAGGCCTCCTGAACTAAATGAAATCTTGTTAACGTTCGTTTCGTTGCTGCGAACGAGACGACGAAAGATCGAAATAAATGTAGTGTTATACGATAATCGACTTTAAATGATCAATAATAAAGATTATATTATTGTAAAATCAAAGCTTAATTTATCATAGGACGAAACGGCCTTATATCAATGTGTTCTATTATAGACTGTATTTACTTCTTCATTAAGTACAAATTGGCGTGTAGACATTTTGGGGACTAGTTGTTCGACGAAGACTGTTTTGATCCGAAACGTAAAACGGTTCTATCGTCGCGGAACACAAAACGGTCCTTGAAACCAGTTCGTCTCTAGAACGCTTGTAAGCGTCCTAGTCTATAATATAGACAATGTGGTGATTTTGTGTGTGGTGATTTGTGGTGTGGAGATAAATTTCAACAGTAGAATAACAGCAGCACAGTATATTTGATTTTGCAGGTCATGAAGTTAGCTACGAGGTAACTATTCTTGAAATACATTTTTGGGGACAACCGTCGGGTGAAGGAGAACGGAAATATGGAATTCAAAAGTACGAACTACTATTGTGAGTATTGTATATATATATACTACAATATAACTTATAAAAAATATGTGTATTTAAAATGTCGAATTAGGAACTATATTGTTAATGTGGCATTTAGTTTCATATTGTCATACTGCAAATACGGCATGATAAGAATCTTAAAGTGAATTTATTTACATTGGATGTCTTTAAGTTTAATTTTAAAATAATAACTTCTGCGACAAATACATAGAAGGATTTTGTGACAATTTAAAAATATATTGATTTTTAGAATAGATTGTGTTAGTAACAAAACATTTGTTGTATTATAAAAACAACCTTATGACTGATTTTTATATACGTACGTATTAATGGAATAATGTATAATATTATCTATTCAAAAGTGCTAAATGAGTGTATATTCTACATAATTTTTGTGTGTGATAGAAGTCATTGTATAAAAGTTATATATAACAGTTCTTATAGTTGTCAAGAATATTCAGCATACCGTTGGATGTAAACTTGTCAAACAAAACTTACGATATTCTTTGTGCTCTAAAAAAGGGTGGCATTATCGCTATGTAATTATTGTTTCATATAATCGTTAGGTCTTATATGTAGTATAAAATTACTCATTAAGAATGTAAAAGGTAGAGAATGCATTGTTATAAATTAATGTGATGTTAAAGCAATATTATGAGTTATGGCGATCTAAAATGGATGGTATATTGAAATATTTCGCTTACGCAACTCTCTTATGCTACCCAAGAAAACAGCCTTTTCATTCGGCTGCAATTTTGTTAATTATTTTTAAATTATTTATGAATAGATTCTCGTTATGATGAAATAACAAAATTCAGTTTGGTTACTGTGAATCGCACAAAGCTATGTTTTTGTCCATCGTGTAAATATGCTGTAAATACATATAAAAAAATATAAACAGATTTTCATATAACTTCGATTTCAATATCTGTGTTTTTACTACGCACTTTGATTATTTACACGCCTAGATATAGCAAATTAATGAAGCAAAGAAAACGGTCATGTTTCGCGCAATGTGTGTGTGACTCAATCTCAGATTGCACTAAAGCAATCAATGTATTTGTGAGTAGCGATGAGCATATCTACCATATGTAGTAGATATTTTTTGTAGCGCTTCCGTACAGTGGATACGGTATCTAGGGTGTATATAATCAAAGACTACGCATCCTTCAGACAGTGTTTGTTATTTAAGTGAATATTAGTAAGTGTTTGTCACAATGTATATGAAATTCGGTTTTGTTTAGTTAATAATGCTGTTATTGGCTGTTATGTACAGTACCTTACCTATAGTTGTATCTATAAGTATTGTACTGATCAGATATTTAATTAGCACTTGTTATACTGTCAATAATTTGTTAGATCAATTTATAAACTATACTAATATTGTAGAGAGCTAAATTTTGTATGGTTGTAGTGGGTAATCGACAGAGCCTTGACCACCGAAGACGTGTAGCTTGCCTCTCGGTGTTTTATCGGTTACTTTTCGGAGAATGTGCGGAGGTATTACATAATTTGATCCCCCTTTCCCTTTCCACCACCGGACGACCAGGCGCGGCGAGGGCTTCCACCCTTATGTTGTCGAAGTTCCTCCCATTCACACGAAGCGATTTGCTTCGGTCTTCATTATGCGAACGGCTAGGGAGTGGAACTCCTTGCCAAGGTCTGTTTTCCCGGAACAATATAATCTGGAATAATCTTCAAGGCGAGAATGAACAGGCATCTTCTAGGCGTGTACCATCCTAGGCCTCATCATCGCTTTCCATCAGTTAAGATTGTGGTCAAACTCATTGCCTATTTTGCATAAAAAAAAGATTTTTTTTACCAATAAAAAGCATTGTTTTTGGGGAGATTTTTGGCTTACAAAAACTAAAGTCTACACCGAAACGAAGCGAGGGCGGGCCAATATGTTGTATATAATCTTCTACGTGTTGTTTTATTGGGATGTTCCAGTATCTTTTATTGAACGCTAAAGTTTAGGTAGAAAAAGTGATATATTATATGTTTTAATATATAAAATAATTACATAAACGAGATAAAAACAGTGGTTTTTTAAATGTTCAGTTATTTTGCGTTTTGTATGATCAATGTCAGATATAAGTACATAACAAAGTGTTTATTTCTTAGCTTTTAATGATATTTAATTTAAAGAAGTGTGCCCGAGTATTAATTATTACTTTTAGGAAAAATAAAGCCATCACAACCATTGAATGTACACGTATGCCCGTACTTTCACTGTGAATAGACCTTGGTGCATTTTTATTTACTTTTTGAACTTTATGATTTATATTTGTACAAATAACTTTTTATTTTTATCTTGTCTTCGAGTAAATCTTGACGTATGATCATTGTACCCATAATATTGATGAAATACTGAATAATTGTTACATTGAATTGTAGCCGAAGTAACTATAGCCTTTCCATTATGTATCTACATTTTTTTGTTATTTTATTATTAATAAAAAATATAAACAGGTGTTTTATAGTAAATCCAGTTTTTTCATTCGCCTGCAACTGTATCTCATTTCATCATCATCAGCCTATTAATGTCCTCAGTGCTGGGGCACAGGCGTTTCCTATGGATGGAATAGGGAGATTGGGCCAGGACCCACCACGCGGGCCCAGTGCGGATTGGTGGGTGCTAACAACTGCAGCTGGGACCACCGGCTTAACGTACCTTCCGAAACACAGAGGAACTCGAGATAGAAGATTTTTGGTCACCCATCCAATGACCGACCACTGCAAAAGTTGCTTAACTTCAACGATCGCAGCCGAACGCGCTAACCACCTGCACCATCGAGCTCCTCATTTGGTACTGCTAAACTAACAAAAAATCCTTTACCCGTCATGGTGAATATAAAACCCTGCGCAGACGAGGGACTTTTGTCTGCTACGACAACGGCTAACCAGAGCTGATGTCCGAATCTCAGCGACGCCCTCGAGTTGAGCCGACCCCCTCAAGTTCGAGTGGTCTAGAGGCTCCAGACGGAGAGGAGACCCCCCGTGGGGAGATGCCATCCGCCTGGAATACCTCTAGAGGCACTCTCCAACTATCGGGTTGAGGTCCCCTAAGGATCTCGCCGTCCCCAAACTAGGTGACGCTATATAAATAAAAAAAATGGGTGCGTGTACTTATGTAGGCGCGTGAGAAGTTATCCTTCTTTGGCATCGTTTAAAATTAGTTTTTAATTGCATGCAAATAATTAATTACAATAAATTAATAAAAAGTCTGGAAAAGGACACAGTCAATAAAGTTCAGTTTTAATTTGAAAAAATAAATAAATAATCAAAATATTCAATTAAAATCACTACTGAATATAATTTATTAGAACATATGTGATTTGCACTTGTATGAAACTCAAACACGTATTCCGAATATACAAACTAGAAACATGTGGATAAATATTATAAACTAGCGGCCCGCCCTCGCTTCGCTTCGGTGTAGAGCTGAAGTGTAGACTACAGTTTTTGTTCTCAGGCTTGTATTATACACAATGACATTCATCTATGATTCTTCTTATACCTGCATGCAAAGTCTCAGCCCGATCGGTTTAAAATTGATAAAGTTTCATACAAACTTTCATTCCTTATTTTATCCCCTTGGGATTTTCTTTATATTTTTTTCCGTAAGAACCTTGTACAGAGTATTAGAAAACTACAAAAAAAAAACAGCCAAATCGGTCAAGCCGTTTTCATGTTATGTCGTGACAACGGAAAACGGGTTTCATTTTTATATATATAGATATGAAAACAGTCTCTGTTCTAAATTCAAAACTCGTAACTTTTCCCGATGTTTGTTGCACGTGTTTCCCGCGCTAGGACCGCGAGTGGCCGCGCATGTGTACGGTGCGGCGGGCGACGCGATAATGGCAGCGCGGTACATGAAGTTGGTCGCTAAAGCGACCAACTTCATGGTGTTAAAATTTAGTGTTACATGATGCGCGCGCATCTTAAAATTTCACTCTCATCAATTTTTCACAACGCGCCTAAAGAAGTATAACTTCAAAAAAACTATAAACAAACTTCATTAGATGCACTGCACAACGCCGCCAGCTTCGCAAATTGCAATGAATATACACAATGTTAGCATTGAATAGTCGAAAAAAAAAACCGACAAAATAAAAAAGTACAAGTACCCTACTCAACGTTTTCCTTAAGGATTGTAAAAAATGAGTTATCTTTTAAAATATAACACTTACTGGGACGATTGGTTCGTCAACTTTTAGTACAACATTTTTCACAATTTCTGATGTAACTACCTTCTACCTATAAGTTTGGGTTTATTAAATATAGTTCAAGATAAGGATCACTCAGTTGGGACGATCGAGGAAAAAAAAGATTTTCACTTTCTCTTAAACCAGTAAGATTTCAATCCCGATCTTTGTTTCACAAATTTTCCCAGAAGCATAATTTATAACAAACATGATAATGTTTCATACTTTTTCAATATAAGTTAGTGTTTTAAAAGATCACTCAAATGAACATAGTGCATTCTGAGTGATCGATATAAACCGTTCTAAATCTTAAACGTGGCTTTAAAATGAATCGAAAATTTGTTTAGCAGCTTTCACAAATTCTTCGCAATTATTTCAAATACAAATTATAAACACATAGGTAGTATTTTCTTGGATACGCGTTATGGCTTATTCTTCAAGTGTCCAGATTGAGTGATCCAGTTAATTAGTTCTAACTTTCTTTGTTTAGGTTTCACAAATTTTATACCTTACCATTAAGTTTTCACAATTACTTCCTAAATCCTCTTATAATTTGGTTGTGATTGGATGAGTTTTTTGAAAAGATCATTCAGTCCACACGCACATCTATAAAAATCAACAGCGAGGCGAGTAGTGAACCAAGAAGTGCATGAGTGGCGTTCAAGCACTTCTTGATTGGGATACATTTTGAGCGCACGTAGTGTACATAGCTACGGGTATTAAATATCGTTGTGAAAATGTTAATAATTGTCTACTCAATTCGACGAACCACAAGGTATCACAAATCGAAATATGGTAACGAGAATATACTTACATAATCGTATACAAGTATAGGTTTGCTTTATTGTAGGAACGATCAAAATGTTTAGCAAATAAGTACCATTTAGTCTCCAACCTCAATTGACAAATCGTATTACACAATACACCAGGGATTATTATACTTAAGAATACGTCACTAATGTCGCCCATTTACGCCATTGTTCGTCGTCGAATCGATACGTAAAGGAGCTCTCGATTCCTGTCGACTACGAGTGGATACGCATTATACTTACACGATTTTGTCGGCGCCGACATCGAGATGTAAATGCTTGGAACGATTAATTCTCGATTAAAACGATAAAGTGTTACCTACATTATTATCTATAGGTACATTTCATAGCCAGCCCTAACTTACATTTATATAGCGTCGAGTTTCAATTTACCTATTTTAACGTATGAAGTTATTTAGAGAGTTAAATAATTTCATAGGTTGATTTCAATTGTGGTTTACTATGAAGTTCTTTGTTAAAATTATGAAAGAATGCTATTTAAAAAAATATCCATAACGCGAACTAAAGTTACTCTTCCTCCGTAATGCTGTCTGTGTTCTTTTTTGCAAACAAAAGTGTCAGCATCAGTTTAAGTCCAGGTTTAACTTCGGTCAACGTTTTGTAATAAGGTGGCAAATATAGAATAGTAGTTGTATTTCACCTGAGTATTAAGTACTTAACTACTATGAAATTTGTCACTCTCACAGTCACAAACTATTCGAAATTTATATTGGTTCGTGCTAAGGGTTCAGTAGTAAGGTGAATTTACCCATGCCTATGGCCGATTCGGGATTTTGTCGGAACCAGGACCAATCGGAATTCACCGAGTCGCGAACTATCATGATAAAAAATCGGGCAAGCCACTCCGATTTCTTATTGACAATACTTAAATTCCTGGTTCGAAATCTAGCACGAACCAATATGGAATAGGAATACCTAGTTGAATCATATTCTCCCTCGAGTCAAGATAGTCAAGAAGTTCTGTATAGAAATTTGAACAGCGCCACAGCGGACGTAACAAGAAATAAAAATCTTCAACACAAAACTTCTTGACATTTGACGTTTATTCAGATCGAATGCAGCTATTTGAATTCGGTATTGGTTCGTGCTTAGGGTAGGTCTGATGTAGCATACACTTGAACGCTCATATCGAATGTTGTGGGTATGCTATGCGCGAAGAGAAACGTCACTAATGGCGGTTAATGCCAGTCCATTACGCTCTTAGCGTGTGTTAACCCCACAATGCATGGCACTTACCTACATTGCTGCTTGTTAAAGGAACCCAGTGCCGATACGCAGTGTTTAAAGCGATCGGTCTACGGAAATGGGAGCGATACTACCAACGGTACTAAATATAAAGAAAACCCCCCTTTCCATCCAAGGAAGGTCTGTGCAAGCTCGGCGTTTTGTTAATATCGACAGATACTCAATTTTTACTTTAGTTCTTTATATTGTACACTAGGGGCCGCCCGCGACTTCGTACGCGTGGAGTTAGTTACATATTTGCACATACTTTTTGACCCTAAAAGGGTTCATTGCTCGTTCCCTGTATGTGTTAATATGTAGCCTATATGTTGACCCGACTTCTTAATAATGCCTTATATGTAGCCTATATCTTGCCTTCCATGGCTTGCCTACACATACAAGTATCGGTAACAAAACATCGTTGATAGAGGAATATCCTCATCAATCTGATAATCGCCCTTGTGGGGTCATATCACACATAATATATTATTTCCATTACGTGAAGCTCAATATATGTTCTCCTTAGAACATGTTCGCTTATGGAGTTCGTACTATTATGTAAGCACCGGTAACATACGACACTCGAGTGGAGCAAATTATGCATAATTTAACATATAGTCTATTCGTGATTCATAATTTATTTTTGTGACCATGGGGTCTGTAAAAGTGTAAACGATTCGAAACATTAAAAATAAGTAAATTGGAAATATAATAAATGTCGCTTGACATAATTCATTACTTCCATCGCGTGGAAATCCATACATCAACGCAACGCAACATACCCGCTCATGGCTTGCGTACACACATAAGAATTGGCTATAAACTACCCTCTTAATAGACTATAAAGATCGAACATCGAATGTTGACGTACCCCGTTGTGAAGTGCAATGTACGTGGTTTTTAAGGTGTCACAAACTCCCGAGGTCTTGGGTTCACCCCGGTGCGTGGGGCAAATCATTGTATGATAAAAACGAGCATCTGTGCTTAAGTGGTTGTTAACAAATATTAATTCAAAATCATACTAATCTATGCATCATCATTATGCATTTCTATGCGTTAGCCCATAACACAAGCCTTTCAATGCCTATTATGACGCTAGGCTAATTGGTGTGAAGTGTTGACTCGAACACTACGGTTGTTCTACCGTAATATAGTTATCGACGACGTGCTGGTATACATTTCAAAAGAAAAAGGAATATCGAAACAATTAATGTTTGAAAAA